CTTTCTGCGACATCTTCTGAGTACTTTTCGTCTACGAATTTGCTCTAAATGACGCCTGGTACAGGGCTGTGCTTATTTTTGGAACGGTCAATCAAATCGTCACACGGTTTTGTCTTGAATGGCGTCTAACCAGCAGTCCAGAACTCGCGAGTGGGCAAGCTTTGAAGCGAAATTCCCCTACGTTATGCGGTTGGGTGTTATTGTGTGCACTGACATCTGCTAAGTGGCCATAAAACACTTGGTTTCATCAACAAAGGTGGCTCGGGCCACGCATAAAAAAGGCCCTTTTTCCACCAGCGTTTCCGATCAAAGCATTCCTCCGACTGAATCGTGCTGAAAACCGAAGTTGAGGGGCTATTTTAGGCCCAGAATATTGCGCACTGGCTGATCTTACGGTCTTTACCCGAGAGTAGAAAGATCTTCTCGATAGATGGGATGGTCAGGTTCCAAAATCAGAGGAGGTGGGCTGGACTGAATTTAGACAGTTCTTCAATGCTTTTGCTGTAGGTGAACCTGGCGATCCGGGCGACGAAGGGTTACCAGGGATACCGCCAGAGGCTGGTGAACCGGGAGACGAGGGTCTGCAGGGTGAACCCGGCGATGAGGGTGAACCTGGAGCGCCCGGAGTGGATGGGGAGCAGGGGCCCAAGGGGGAGGACGGGAAGCCCGGTGTGAACGGAGCACAAGGCCTCCCCGGTGCAGACGGCCTTCCAGGTCTAGATGGAGAAGAAGGCGACTTTGGGGAGCCTGGTGAGCGCGGTGAGGAAGGAGCGAAGGGTCCTGAAGGACCACAGGGACCCACTGGTCCTCAGGGTCCCAAAGGAATTGCTGGATTCGCAACAGACGGTGAACCTGGTGATGAGGGTGAAATGGGTGAGCAGGGTGAGATCGGAGAAACCGGTGGAGAGGGACCCCAGGGTCAGGCAGGACCGCCTGGTGACGTTGGAGAAAAGGGACAGGCGGGAGTTGAGGAGGGTCCTCGTGGACCGCCTGGAGACCAGGGCGAAGAAGGCGACGAAGGCGAGGAGGGTCCCAAGGGTGAACAGGGTCCTCAGGGTGAGCAAGGACCCCCTGGCCCTGTTGGTCCACCTGGTCCAACCAATTACACAACTGTGCTCTTCGCTCGGCATTTCCAAGCCGAGGAAGGACCTTTCGAGTGTCCCGCGGGAACGCGGTTTGTGTACGATGGGTACAGTTACCTCATGGGAGGGGGTGTCGACTACCTCCATAGCATGGACCTCGGAACCGCCAGTTCATGCCTGCGGCGTTTCAACAGCCACCCAATGGCAGTGTGTGAGAGCGGACGTGCCTGCCACATCAATATGCGTCACGAACGATCCTATTGGTTGGCGACGCTGAAGCCCAGGTCAGAGGAGCCCTTGGCGATTGAGGAGGTGGATGGACGCATTGCTCGGTGCGTAGTTTGTGAAGCTCCCACCAACGTCTTCGCTTTTCACAGTCAACTTGGAAGTCTAACTCCCTGCCCGACCACGTGGACGGAGTTGTGGACTGGTGTTAGTCTTCTGCTGGTAAGGTTCCATTTTTCTCAGTCCTTTTACACGAGCGTTTCATTAACTTAATTTATACAATCATGCAAAAGTCAAACTCTCCAATGAGAAGCCTCCGTTTCGTGCCCTTGCTTCTGATTGGTTAAGCTAGGTCACAGAGCTTATGATACCAATAGTTGAAAAGGAGAGCGGAAAGTTGGAAATTGTGTCAAGGCTTCGAACCCAGGTCCTTTCCCGTGACGTAACGATGAAGCAAGACAGGACACTGAGTCTGTAGACCGTCATTTTTGTTGCCTGCGTCAATCTTGATCGTCTTTGTTTCTTTCACCAAGCACACGTCGGGGTCGTTTGGTGGAGGCCAGCCATTATCCTCACCTGGGAGTTGCCTCGAACACTTCCGTCATTCCCCTGTAATCGAGTGCAACAACAACGCAGGTACTTGTCACTACTGGAGTGACGCGAAGGTCTACTACCTCCGCTCCATACCCGAATCGACCGACGAACAGTTTTCGAAGCCCCTCGGTTTGACCTTGAAGGCTGGCGAAGGTCCAACTGTTGACAGTGTTAGCAAGTGCAGAGTTTGTATGAAAGTGCCAGTGTAGGAATCTTTCAAAGGACAAAACGCAAATCCCCCCAATTGCTTGCACTCTCGCTTACTTCTCAAAGCCAATCTTTTATCACGCCGTCTTCTCCTCATTCCCACTCTCAATGCCCTTCCTTTTACCACCAATAGCGCCAATGAATGCTCTTTCTATCCTGTAATCTCCCTCGAGAGTTTGAATGCTCTTTAGAAATACAAAAATTAGCGCCCAAGCTTGTTCATTTTACTCGTATGCGACTGTTTGTGGATGTAATTTCGATCAAGCAACTAAATGCGCTTTCAGAAGATTTCAATTAACTTGATACCCTTTTATGTAAAGATTCAACAAACCAATATTGTGTGGTAAGCCAGGGGTCACCAGAAGACCAGTTATCGATCATTTAATTGCAGAGTTTTTATTAGGTCAATCAGCTTCAGTTGTTAATTTTTTTTACGGGGCATCTTTTTATCGTCAATTTTTTGTTCGTTTTCAGAGACTCTAGCTGTATGCTGGCTGGACGTTTTCACGAAAACTCCTGGCCAGCAGGCCTTAGTTTCCAGATAGGAAGGCGGTGAGTTGTTCCCTGAAATCGACAAGCAATAATTTGACCTCATTTAAATTCATGGAAAAAACAATGCATGAGTACGCTTTATCGTATTCGCAAGAGACAGACAAATCACACAAAATATTATCTTTTTCCACCTCGCTGATTGGTTGGTAGATTCGTACTTCTAAGTAGCTCATGGTGAATTTGTAGGGGATGTGAACCAGCTTTGTACTTGTTTTTCTTTCTTCCAGGAAGCTGGCTGGCTTCAGCATACTTGCGACTATCTGTCTTGTATTAAGTTTGGTACCGACCGCTCAATCGGTATGCGCATTATTGATTTTTTGACTAACATCTACCCCATTCAGCAATTCTCGCCTAGCCGAGAGTGCAACATTGAATGCTACTACGACAAGTGCCGTTGTGTGGCACCCCAGGGCCCAATGGTACGTTTACATTGAAAATTGAAGTAATCAATATTCTAGGGTCCCCCGGGTCCTCGCGGACCTCCGGGTGTCACCGGTCCCAAGGGCTATCCCGGAGAAATCGGTCCTATTGGTCCGAAGGGACAGCGTGGGCCGCCTGGAGTGGACGGCATTCCCGGACAGCCGGGTGAGCGGGTAGGTGAAATCGATCGACTTTCCTTGGACGACGCCATAAAAGCGCACTGAGTGGCCGCGTATGCCTCTGTTGTAGGGTCCGCCAGGCGACTTTGGACCACCTGGACGTCACGGTGAACACGGCGATGATGGTGAAACTGGTGATCAAGGTGAAGCAGGCATACCGGGATGTGATGGACCGCCGGTGAGTCAGTAGTCCAGTCATTAGTCCAGACATTGGCCGTTGGAATGGCACAAATGTTCCATGAATTTGTTGAGATTTGAAGAACATTTTCTCACATCATTGTCACCAATTGTTGTGCGTCCCAGCATGTGGTCTTGAACCACGCCGGGGCCACGGAATTAACCCTGGCCCGATTACGCTTGCTTGATACCCGCAATGAAGAAAAAGATCGGAGAGTACGTGGACACAACCGTTTACTTCAGAGCTCAACCACATTGGTGTCGTTGTGTTATGTGTGGGGTTTGCGTGTGTGTATTTATACCTCGGATGTGTGCGTCATACATGCGCTAACATCGAGACCTAGGTGTGAGGATAATCTAAGATAAATATCCGTGTGAATGGGGGGGAGTTGAGGGAAAAAGGGGTACTCTATGTCGGAGGTGGAGCGACCGGATTAAGGGGTGTGAATAAGCACGAGTCACAGCAAACTGATGCAAATGTGACAGCTCCTTGCTCGCTTTTCAGGCCACGTATTGATTTTTCCTAGGGTGATCCCGGCCCACCAGGCCTTCCTGGCCGACCTGGTGTTGATGGACCCCCTGGTTTCCCCGGCGACCCTGGTGACAGAGGCGACCCTGGCGATTTTGGCAGTGGACCTGTTGGACCTCCTGTGAGTGCTGTACTGTTGTTTTAATAAGCTTTAGCGGTCCCGGTCGGTTCAAACTGGGTTTCCTCGCGTCCTCACGCATTGCTGCTAAGTTCACCACTTACAGTAGAGAAGCCAGGTGGGCCTTAAATTGCACCTTCTTTTAGTTGCTTGGTCTTAGAATATGTCTTGAGTGAAAAAAAATAACTGGCCGCGAAATCACAGTTTTACCTACATATCTGGCATTACGAATGCCTCTCCCTCGATCCTGTCTTTGGCTTGTCGCTCTGCAAGAAAATTTTGCTTCGTTTTGCTTAGCTGAAGAACTAGTGACCTTCTGTATCCATGGTCACACAGGGAAGTAACAAAAGCCGAGGTTTGTTTGCAACGAATTTCTTTGTGCCACGCGAAAAAGTACGCATCAGCCGTCATGATAGAGAAAACGATCAAACAACTATGTAGCCCATTTTTAGGTATCTCCCTGCCAAGGTCACTAGTAGCCAATCATTGATCGAGCGCGTATTTTGACCCACTTTGACGCGCGGTATTGTTTTCTATTTTAGGGTGAAAAAGGTGACCGCGGTGAAACTGGCGTTCCGGTAGGCGACGCAGTGATCTGGCTTTTTGGTGAATTTGAAGATCCGAAATCTTTTCTATGTGCGAAATTTTTTAGGGTGAGAAAGGCCGTCCTGGACAGCCTGGACCAATCGGATCGATGGGACCCGCTGGTGACCGGGTAATTGCATTATTAGATGTATTCGTTAACCAATCAGATGCTAATTAGGGAAAACTGTTATTTTGCACTCATTTAAGCCACAACAATTTGCATCAGATGCGCCAACTTTGTGGATGACAGCTCTCCAGTTAGTTTAAATGTTTCTCTGCGTCTCAAATGACTTAGTTGAAGGTGGGTTTAGGAATATAGTGTCCTCTACTGGAAATTATTTTAACTCAAATTGGTCCATTGAGGGGATACTTGACATTCTACATCAGCCAATTGGATTGATTTGTTGCTGTGATTTGAAACTCATGCGGAAGACGTGATTGGTCGGGAGATGAGTTCTTAAGAGTTCTCTTTAACTTTTATAGGGCCCCGTAGGACCAGTCGGTATTCCTGGTCCTCCTGGTGATCCTGGTGACCCAATAGTCGATAACGTGCCAATCAAAGGTGAGCGTGGACCCCCTGGCGATCCTGGTGATCCTGGTACCGATTGTGAGACCTCCACGCTTCTGCCACCACCAATGGACACTCAAGGTCCTGCAGGTGATCGGGTGAGTTCTCCTTCTCGATTTGAAATACGCAGTTGAAATCTTTCACAGATAGATGGAATTCTGTCCGTAAACTCCACGAATTGACCCGCAAAAGAATGGAATTGTAAAGAGATATCAGCAAACGTGCTGGGCAGACCTCATTAGCACCTGTTAGCGTTTACAGTAAATCACCATTCCAAGATTCCGCTTACAAGGGAATGTCTCAGGTTGTGCTAGAACACTTCCAGCCACTCAAATACAAGTCTTCTTTTCTCCCTTCCTTAGGGCGATCCTGGTCCTAAGGGCTACCCCGGCATGAAGGGTGATCCAGGTGACAGGGTGAGTAATAAGCTGCGTGTTTACAATTTTCACCATGGTTACAACTTCCGGTCTGATTAACCTTCTACTTTCCAGGGCATTCCCGGTCCAATGGGTGAACCTGGTCCCAAAGGCCAGCCCGGCCTTCCAGGCCCTCCTGTAAGCACCGTCCACATGGGTTTGTTTTAATTACTCTTGCAAATTTTTCCTAATTTTTCCTTTTTTACCAGGGTCCCAAAGGTGACAAGGGCAGACAAGGCGCTACTGGTGTAAAGGTGAGCCTTTGTGTCACGCTGCGTGGGGTTTTCGTTGAGTGGATGACGAATTTCAGTTGGGTTTTAGGGGTCACGTGGTCGTGACGGTCTGATCGGCCCTCGCGGTCCCCCAGGTCCGAAGGGTCTGCCTGGTGAACCGGGTGAAGATGGACTTCGTGGACCACCGGGTGAACCAGGTCCGCCTGGGGTAAGCGTCATTTCTTACACCTGGCTTTTCCTGATTGGCTAGATCTTCCTCATCAATTTTTAAACGTTGTCGATTGATTGGTTGGTCAATTTTAGTCGTGAATAGCCGTCTTTTCACATTTAAGGGTGACAGTATCTGCACGGGAATTCTGCCCGGCCGTCCCGGAGAGAGAGGTCCTCCTGGCGAACAGGGACCCCGCGGTCCCACTGGACGTGAGGGTCCACGCGGTGACCCCGGCCCGAAGGGCTTCAGGGGCCCGGCTGGTCTTGTTGGTGACACCGGCCCAGACTGTCCGATTGGTCCGTCCGGAGTTCGTGGACCCAAGGGCGATCCTGGTACGTTCCTCTGTTCTGCTCGCAGCCCAAGTCCATGGTATGGAAGCTTAGCAACTTATTATCAAATGGGTCGTTTTGAAGTCCTGTAGATGATTTCATCCCGCAGACGTTGCTTAAAGTTGAGTTAAACAATCACGAATCCCAAACTCTACTATAAAATATGGCTGAACGGGTTTGTTAGTACAAATCCAACACAATTCCGACCAGTTATTCCATTATAGGGACCAAAAGAAACCATCGGAAGGCCAAAAGAAACCAATTAAATATTTCGGCGCTAGGTTTTTCTAGAAATTTAAATCACGTTTTACTTACTCGCATGTAACTCCTTATGAATTAAATTAAACCACCATTAACTGTTTGCAAAATGCTCCCAATCATGACCTTGAGACAGCCAATAACTTTGTATTCGACGGCTGCACATAGTGACTCAGTTCCCGTATCATTTGAGCATGGTCTATCTTTAAGAAATAGGTCGAATACTCAACTTGGGAGAACTGAAATGCTCAAACATCTACTTAAATCGTGTCTTGAGACAATGTGAATTTCGTCTTCTGTGAACGAGAGCCACTATCGGTGAAAAACACACGTTGGCAGTCAGAATTTGAGTCCCGTTGTGTGCAAAAAGATAGTTCTATAAGTTGTCCAGGTTTGGAACACACCTCAACAAAGAACGCTGCCACCACATAAGTTCTTATGGGTCTTTGATAGTCAAATTCACGAAGACGTCACTGTCACTTGCGTTCCTTTCCATGGTTTGACTGTGATTTCCGATAATCGGTGTTTTATCCTTGTAGGTCCACCTGGCAACGATGGTCCCAAGGGTTACCAAGGCCCCCCTGGTGAAGAGGGGCTTCAGGGCGATCCTGGTGAACCAGGAAGAGGGATTCGTGGTCCTCCTGGTGATCCTGGTTATCCTGGACCTGATGGTGCGAAAGGTGAGTGATGCTCCTGCAGTGACGGGCGGTTTAAAAGAAACCAAGGGGGGCAATTCCGCTCATTTTGGGTGTTGCATTGCCTCGTTTTAGGTCCTCGTGGCCCGAAGGGTGTCAGAGGTCCACGTGGCCCACCGGGGAACAAGGGAACCGGACGTCCTGGACCCCCTGGTGACAAGGGTGAAAAGGGTCTTCCTGGACTTGATGGAAAGCCTGGTAAACCAGGTCCCAAAGGCGAACAGGGTAAGTCTAAGTGACCTACAATTAGCTACCAGATCGAAGTGTTCAACTTGTCTGGCTGGCCACAATATATGATTGCTAGATTTGGGTCCGCAACCAGCGTTAGAAACATCACTCCTGGAATGTGTTGGAACGTCATCATCCAAATTGATTTTGCCTAGGTCCACCGGGTGAACCCTGCAACGTCTGCAAGCCCGGACAACCTGGTTCGAGGGGCGAGAAAGGCGAGCCGGGTTACCCTGGACCTCCCGGACAGCGCGGACGTGATGGACCTCCAGGCGAACGCGGTGAACCTGGTTCCGTGGGCAATCAAGGTCCTCAAGGGCCCCGTGGACTTGAGGTGAGTTTGTCAGAATGCAGAATAAGCATCGATGAATGCGGATTCTGAGAGTCTAGAATGCTTTTAGAGGAGCTATCACTCACGGCCTCACCATGAACACTTCCAAGGCTGCGATCTCCCAGGTCCTGTATTGCGCTTTTTTGGGATGTGGGGGTGCTTCGAAACGCGTCGAAACATGCAACACTTTATGATCGCAGGTGGAGGTGTTAATGTTGTTGTCTTCGCCAGGAAAGGGCACGCAAAGCACACACGAAATGCGCACTGTGTGCGTGGGGAGAGAGACGTTGTAAGCGAAAGTGCGTCTTTGCCAAAGATGATTTGCACGAGGCAGGGAGCTAGTGCAAATCGAACGCGAAATCTTGGCATGAACCAGCATCTTTCCCAGGCATTGCTGCGTGCCATTTGCGCGTGCTTCGTTAGGTCTTTCAGCGCAACATTTGGCCACCACATGAATTTTGAACGAACGAATTCCAGAGGCTGTATTTTATTATGTTTCAGCATTTTGCAGAAACAGATGATTGTATAAGTAGCTAAACTCTCAGAAAGGCAAACGAGTTAAGGGAACAGTTTGCCACTTTGTAGGTATTGTGACTAAAGGGGTATACTTTATCGGTAACTACGGACTAGGCTGATTTTGCCGACATTTGTGCAGCGGAATTATCAATCATTTTGCAGGGTGACCCTGGCGAACGCGGTCTGATGGGACCGAAGGGTATTAAGGGTGTCTCTGGTGACACCCGGATCGAGTACGTGGACACCATCAAGGGTCAGAAGGGCTTCCCAGGTGCGCCCGGTCCCGACGGTGAGAAGGGCTTCCAAGGACCTCCTGGGGAACGTGGACCTGTGGGTGAACCTGGACCTGTTGGTGAACCGGTAAGTTACACCAATCAGAATCTGGATTGCGTCACAACGCATAGAGATTGGTTACTGAGCATCAACAGGTAAATAAGCTGTTGATCTGATCATAGATAAGTTTCCACAAAATGAATTCATTCATTAGTCGTCTAAGAGCACTTATTGGGACTGCAGCACAGAGTAGCGGTGCTAGAGCCTCCAATTCACTTGGCGGTGCTTGAGGTTACTAAGAAGAGCCATTCAACAAATTGCAGGGCGAACAGGGCGAGGCCGGTCCCACTGGCCGCCCAGGTCCGAAGGGCAGACCTGGCGAAAAAGGCGTCAAGGGACGTCCAGCTGCTATGACGTATGGCATCAAGGGCGAGAAGGGCTTGCCTGGGTTGCCTGGTCGTGTTGGACCCCCCGGTGACACTGGCGAACCCGGGAACTGCACGGTTGTCGTCCAGAGAGGCGAAAACATGACAAGTCAGTTGATGTGCCTGGCGCGATTGTCTGAAGGGTCTAGACCCTAAAATGACCGGATTTTCGTGTTTAGCGGAACGTGGAGACATGGGGCCGAAAGGCGAGAGGGGTGAACGCGGGGTGCCCGGTGAGCCTGGCAAACAGGGTGTTCAGGGCCCCCCTGGAGACGACGGTAAACGTGGAAACAAGGGACCCCCCGGCTCACCTGGTCCAATTGGTCGAAAGGGACAGGTTGGACCTCCTGGTATGTGCTGGCTCTCTTTCCACCGAATTCAGTGCCCCACAGAAGTTGGGCTGAGTGTTAATTCTGTGTTTAGGCGATGTGGGCGAACAAGGCGAGACTGGACCGGAGGGCAGACGCGGACTGCCAGGTTCCCCTGGCCAGAAGGGATCACCTGGTCCTCCTGGAGACCCTGGACCCAGAGGTGAGATTGCTATTCTGCTGGAATTTTTGTAGTGCTGTTGAAGGCCTCGTCATGTGGTCTAGAACCACGCCGTGTTGAGTTAGCCAGATTACTCTTCAGAGACGTCCAAGAAGATTAAGACAGGAGATGACGGAGACTAGCGTCGTGTGCGTGCGTTCAAAGGTAGTGCATCGCTAATGTAATCGTCAGCCCATCAGTCAGGGTGAGCTTGTGAAAGTACAAATGACTGAATGGTCAGATGAATGAAACGGGTAGTGGGGGTGGGGCACGCACAAGGGTGTGTGAGCGGACAGTCTCGCACGGCTGACGAGAGCTCTGTGAAAAGGGGGCGGTGAATTGGCTGGTAGTCATGAGTCAACACAATTCACTACGGTGTACTTTTGTAGTTAGAGATGTGAAGTTCGAGTCTGAGCCCTTATTAGGATAAAAATTTCGACAAACAATAAGTACCATGATAAGTCAGATGTCCCGGGAGAAAACTATGTCCATTTTCCACATTTTTGAGATCCAAGAGTGTTTAATGTCGACATGACTGGATTGAGTTCGTTGTGTGGACGTTGAACAGGGCACGGAGAAATCAAGAGAGTTGATGCGTCATTGATTTTTTTTCCCTTAGGTCAAAAGGGCTTCAAGGGACCACCTGGCAGACCGGGAATCGGAATCAAGGGTGCTGAAGGACCTCCGGGCTTCGACGGACCCAAAGGCGATCCCGGCGAGCCCGGTCCAATGGGCCAGCCAGGTCGTCCTGGTGAACCTGGTGAGTAAGCCCTATTTCGCCCTCCCGCTTTTCCACTCCACCTCCTCCCCCCCCTTCTGAGCAACCCTCTCATTCTGCGTGTAGATAGCTTTGTTCACGTCAGACACGTGCGGCGTGCAGTATCGAAAAACGAAACTAATTCAAGTCAGGGTTGACCTTGACTTGGTAAAAAGCGTAACAAAACAAATGTTAGTAAATTAATGGAAATAGAATCAGAACCCAATCTTGGGGAATCGTGGATCCCCAACATTTCGACAGCGACCACCGAGGAGGTCAGGTGTTGCTAAATGACTGGCTGTCTTGTTTGAATCTCCCCAGGCGAAATTGGTGAACAAGGTCTTCCCGGAGTTGTTGGACCTGTGGGTCCCAAGGGCGAGCGAGGTGACCCAGGTCCGAGTGGAGGTGAAGGAATCCCAGGACCACGTGGCGATCCCGGTGACCCTGGTCCAATGGGTACGTTACAGTTGGTTGTGGTTGGTTAAAATTGATGATAGCCCACCTACATGATTACTAGACGCAATGGGTACGACACAACCCAGCGCGGACTGAAGCTTGATGTTTCGGCCGACTCTGTGGACGTTTGTGGACTAAGACTGGTGCCTTTGTATCTAGGTGTTCCTGGTGAACCTGGTGAGGCGGGCGACGTAGGCACGTGCATCGGAACTCCGCAGAAGGGTGACAGAGGCGAAAAGGGTGACCAAGGCCCTCCTGGACAGACTGGTCTAGCTGGACCGCCTGGCGAGCCTGGTGAACGCGGACCGCCTGGACCGGACGGGTTGCCGGGTGAGTTGTGTTTGGATGACCGTACGCCTTCAAAGTGGGCGCGCGGTCGATTTGAGTTATGTGAACCAATGAGCTTGGTAGATTCAAGGGGACTCACCACCTCTAACTCAAATGGTGACCTAATGTGTATTATTTTTGCAGTTTCCATATCAGAAATCAGCATTATTTGGTGAGCCGTCATGTCATAGTGCCAGAAGTCACATAATACTTTGTTAACTCTCATGCGAAGCGATCTAGTGTTGCATTCAGTTCATTTCACTTTTGATTGGTCAATTTGAATGGCTATTGACGTTGTGCTTTTTTCACTGAAGGCCCCAAGGGACTGATAGGACCACGTGGTCCCCCCGGCCTGGCTGGACCAGAAGGACCTCGAGGCGATGTGGGTGAGCCAGGACCTCTTGGACCTGAAGGACCCAAAGGCAAAACTGGACCAAGAGGACCTCCAGGACCCATAGGTTTGTCAAGCCCTTTTACAACCTCTAAACCACTTGAATAACCATCTTTACGCAAAAACGTCTCCTCTGATTCTCCAGGACCTCAAGGAGACCGAGGAATTCCGGGTGAGCCGGGTCCACAGGGTGACCCAGGTCCTGACGTCGTTGGTTTTCCTGGAGAAGTCGGAGACCCGGGTGAGCCCGGACCTCAGGGTCCAAAGGGCAGCGTCGGCAGACCTGGACGTCGCGGCCCCAAAGGCGAGCCTGGACCGGATGGAGTTGGCATTCCTGGTGTTCAGGGAGAACGCGGTGAACTCGGAGACAAGGGAATTCCTGGCTTCCCTGGCCAGTCTGGCGGCATCGGAGAGAAGGGCGAACGTGGACCGCCTGGTGAACAGGGAGATAGAGTAAGTTTGCGATTTCGAAGCTCCCAAAAAGCTATAAGTTCTTGTGAGATATCCATGTCCGGCATTTTTATCCATCTGTTGCGATTACGTCGTTATCAACCTAACGCAGTTTCCTAATTGTGTTAAAGAGCTACACGACACGAATGTTTGCTTATTTGTTGGGATTGAACTCTCTGTAGGGTGAAGTCGGTGATCCTGGACCCCGTGGACCTACTGGACCACAGGGCCCCATGGGTTTTGACGGACGTAGAGGTCCAAAGGGCCAGCCTGGGGTGCCTGGACCCAAGGGAGTGAAGGGCGCACGTGGTGATCCTGGAGAGTCCGGAGCCATCATTCAAGGCCGACCAGGAGAGCCGGGCGAGCAGGGAGAACGCGGAGTCCCTGGTCTACAGGGAAGGAAGGGCGAACAAGGTCTACCAGGTGAGATGGTCTAAAAGTACACTGAATTCTTGCATAAGGATTTATGGGCACACAGTTATGACATCCCCAATATATCAACGTCTCCATATTCACGAGGCTAATGTTTCAAAACTTACGCCACACGCAGTACCCCCGACAACAGCTGAAGACTTGAGTGGTTATCCCTCGTCCAATAAATCAGCCATAACAAACCCATTTTTTCCTCGGCTTTAGGTGAAGATGGCCTTCCCGGACCCGCGGGAGAAACCGGACCTGCTGGAGAGCGTGGCGATCCTGGTCCTAAAGGGGAACGGGGCGAGCCCGGACCGGACGGACCCCCTGGATATCGGGGACCCCCTGGAGAGAAGGGCTTGCTCGGCGAGCGTGGTCCTGATGGTGAACCGGGTCCTGTCGGCCCGACAGGTGACCCAGGCTTCGAGGGACTTGCTGGTCGTTGCATTCCTGGCCCGTCCAGTCAGAAAGGCGAGCCTGGCCTACAAGGACCAATGGGCCCTATGGGCGAAAAGGGTCTTCCAGGTGTGTTTGATGTCACCACACGAATTTTACGATACCTCCACTGATACTCGGGAAGGTTAATCAGACCAGGGACAATGGCGGCTCAACTCTGTTCACCTTTTGCGTTTTTAGGGCTTCCCGGAAAAGTCGGAAAGCAGGGTCCCCCTGGTATCCCCGGTCGTGGGATTCCTGGTCCGCCTGGCGATCGTGGTGATCCTGGCTACCCCGGATTCGATGGTGAATACCATGACAATTAATATTGGGATTTTACAAGGCATGGGGGCTGACCAAGTCTTATAATCTTACCTGCAGGTCAGAAGGGTGAAAAGGGAGAACAAGGCGAGCCAGGTGAATCAGGTCCACGAGGTCCAAAGGGTCGTCGTGGACCAGTCGGTCCACAAGGCGACCGTGGAGATCCTGGCCCGAGTGGTTTGGATGGACGGCCTGGAGAACCTGGTGATCCAGGCCCCGATGGTCTTCCTGGTCCCGACGGTGAACCTGGACGCCGTGGAATCGACGGTCGTCCCGGTCAGAAAGGTGTCAAGGGTATGCCCGGCCCTCGTGGCGACACTGGTGACATGGGCCCTGTTGGTGAGGAGGGACCCACTGGTCCCATGGGACCGCCTGGTGACGACGCTGAGGGCATAACTGGAATCAAGGGTGAAAAAGGTGAGCCTGGAAGACAAGGACCACGTGGACCGTCTGGAGACATAGGACTTCCAGGAATTGATGGACCGAAGGGGGAGCGTGGCATAACTGGCGAACCGGGAGTCCAACCAGGACCGGTTGGAGAAAAAGGCAACTTGGGGCCCAAGGGTCATCGCGGTGAGACTGGATATCAAGGACCGCTTGGAGAACGTGGCCCAACTGGTCGTCCTGGACCACCTGGACCTACTGGACAAGTGCTTGCAAGCACCTTCCTTTTCACTCGTCACTTCCAAGATCCAAGCGCACCTATGGAGTGTCCTGTTGGATCCCAGCGAATACAGGAGGGCTTCAGCTTTGTCATGGCTAACGGCAATGGCGAGCTAACCACAATGGACCTTGGTAGGTCAACCAGGATACTTCGCTCGTTTGCATTGTATCCTGTCAGCTGTCGACACAGCTAATATGCGCCATTTTTCTCCTAGGTACCCACAGTTCCTGTCTGCCAATGTTCAGCATAATGCCGTTCTTCCAGTGTCTGCGTGATGGTTCGTGCCAATTGGGAGTGCGGGCAGACAGGTCATACTGGCTGGCTACGACTGAACCTCTTCCAATGATGCCATTGGATGTCAGCGAGGTTCGTCAGCGTGTCGCGCGTTGTGTCGTCTGCGAAGCGCCTACCCAAGCCTTCGCTTTCCACAGCCAGACCAACAGCCTGGCCGATGTGCAGTGTCCAGAGAATTGGATAGAACTCTGGAATGGCTTTAGCTTCTTCATGGTAAGCAGCCAGATGAGGAGTTGAGTTGAACTAGTCATCACTCGATTCCTGTGGTCAGTCAACTGCATAGAGAGACCTATCGACCTACTCAGAAATCTTTTTTTTAAAGCACAATTTCGTCAGACGCTCCTTGACACTACAATCTCATAAGCACTGAAAATATCTTTGATGGTATGATTATCGTAGATGACAGAGTGATCCTAGATCAGGTATTTCACCAGACTCAACATGCCAATTTGTTGACAGGATGCTTAAACACGTTTGGACTATTATTGTTGCAAAAATGTTTACCTCAGTCCTATTAGGTGATTTGTCAGCCTTTCTACCAATGACATCACGAGAAGCATTTTTAGGGTATAACTGTGAACATCAGCACAATATTGGTGGAAAGTGATTGGCCAACGTTAGGTTTTTTGCTTTGTTTGCATTTCATAGCACACCGCCGGCCACGGAGGTGGCGGTCAACAGCTGTCATCGCCTGGTAGCTGTTTGGAGCACTTCAGGTATGCACCACTTCTGGAATGCAACAACGGAATGAGTCTGTGCAACTACTGGAGCGACGCGAAGGCCTACTACCTGCGACACGTCCAAAACGCCACCTCCTTCCAGAAACCAGGTGGTCAGTACATGCGCGAGAGCACCTACGGCGACAGTGGAGTTCTCCGCGAGATCAGCAGGTGTCGGGTGTGTATGCGACAGCGCTACGAGTACCTGCGGCGATAAGCAAGACGCCATCCACAATCAAACATCGCCCACGTCCACAACATCATCCATAGCAAATATTTTTGGAATTAGGCACTTATTTGTCAACTCAGTCACCATACTGCATGTGAATTCAGTGTCACGACCTCTAGACCGTCTTCTTTCTTTTCCAACGATGTTTTAACGACTAAGGCAATGGAATAATCCAAAGTAGCCCTCTTCTCCTTTGCTCTTTCCCAAACACGTTCCCCATGCTTAACACCTCTTTCTTTGACCACTTTCTAGTGTATTTCTCTGTGATTATGTAATAACAATCTAGTAATATGGTGATGTCTGTTGATAAAGAAAAGTTACCTGAGTTTTGGGATTACATTCTTCTTAGTAATTTCCAGAGAGGAATTTGGAGTCTTAGTTTCCTGATTTGATGAAAACTGCATCGAGCTTTTAGGATCTGGACTTCCACTTGCTGAACCAGTGTCCATAGGTGTTTTTGTTGTAAATTTATTTGACTCATTGAGAATAGAACTTTGTACCGGTTGGGATCAGATTTATTTTTTACGAATCTAGGGCACGGTATTAGTTTCTATCGTCTCCAAAGTCGCACGTAAAAGGAAAGCTGATGAATGTAGGCAAAACCTATTTCATTCTCTCCACAAGAAAAGGTAAATTCTGGTCTCCTCCAGTGGAACTAACCTCTTCATCTACACATAAGCTGTCATCTATAGCTTAGACACGGTTTATTTTGATTCTGTAAAAAAGCGGAAATGGTATGTCGAAGCTGCAGTTAGGCTACATGCCGAGTAGCAAAAATTTCACAACATTTTATTTGAAGCAGGGAGGTACAAAAGGTTATGTGAAATGCAAATCAAACAAATTATTTACAATGAGTGGTGCGGAATGTGGAAACATTAAACAATAGGTGAAAGACGTATAAAAGGGACTAGTACAAAAGGCGTATTCCACGGAGTACCCAAACCTCTGTGGTGTTAGGTCATTCTTCACCTGTTAGAAAGCAGGCCTCCGCTGTTTTGTCTAGAATGAAAAATATTGAGACAGTTGAAGTATTTTGCTGTAGAACGTCTTTGGGTAGATTTGCTGACGGCGAGAAATGCATTTGTTAAACAAGTCACGATAAGATTCTCAGGAACTTAGTGCGTGGGTATAGAAGTGCTAAAATAACCACACCTAGGACAAGAAATGACCTAACCAATATGTAAAAATATAACGACAGTTTCACAGATGAATCTGAAAGTTATCGGAACAAGACATTCAATTACTTAAACACAATTGTATTTTTTTCATAATCTCAAAATATTGTATTGCACAGGTTTATGGGGGAAAAGCAGCTACGCTCCTAGAACAGGCCTCTATTATCAGAGAACATTATTGAGTTTATAAATGTTGCTAGGGAAACTGACATTTTACTAGAATTGGTTTTTAGAATTTGGTGCATTACTATCCCATTGGGTCCATTTTATGAAGGGATTGTGGGAACTAAAATGTATTTTCGTTTATTCGGTTTTAAGGATTAGATTTGGTGTAATATCGATTACAAAATGACAACAAATCACTAGCCCCGGCACCTCCGGATGGCAATATTTTAACTTTACAATCTAGACCATGGCACGTAGACTCCCGGTCATTAACCAGGTCATCGCAGTCCCCAATGCACTGCCCCTCTTTCACAGCGCACCCGTCGGTCATGTGACCATCTACTCACACACCTGAACATGTACCTCACTCGCTATCCGCTTTACTCATCTGGCCACCAGTTATTTGTACTTTTACAAACTGTGTAGGTCAGTCGCCCCTTCAGTCAGACACGACTTTTTTTGCACAGTGGCGTGAAACCTAGGCTGAGCCATTTAGTAAACGGTTGTCTCCGCCATCTCAATTTTCATTAGTCATTTCGGGATCTGTGTAGAGTAATCGGACTGAAGTCAACGCAGCAGCCCTGATGTGCTTTAAGACTACGTGTCTGGGCCTTCAGCAAGCATAAAAAGCTCTCCAAATTGCTGTACTGTTCTTGCGTAAACGAATAGATGCAAAACCTTGGTGTAACTTGCTCGGTCATGGCATGAAAAATATTGGATTAGGGGATAATTTACTAATTGATTTGAAAAGAGCCACGATTTATCTTTTTATCTTTTGTAGTCACTTACTGCATCTCGTTCCTCATACTATGGTGCGCATTGAGTAAGTTCTTAAACCGCTATTGTAACACCATGTCCTCACAAAAATACCTAGCTCAATTCCAAAATCTCTAATAAGCATAAACTTATGGCGACAAGAAGGCGTATTAATTCAGGTTACGTTTGTACATTCAAATCACAAGTGACTTTATAATCATCGAATAAGCAGCAGGCTGAAATGGGCAGGCATGACCAGATCAAAGGAGACTTTTAACACGCACAAGTAAAATATAAAATGAATTTGGACAGCATTTCTCGAGTAAAAATGACTAACATTGTCGTTTAGGCAAAAAACTCAACTGAAAAAATGTTAATGACATACAAACAATTAGAAAAATATAGTTACCTAAATGCAGAGCACTTTTAACGGATTCCCGCAGATTAAAAAAGTAACAAATTACAGACAGTAAATGGCGGTAAATTAAGTCTAGCTGCTTGCTACATCTCAAATTTTAGAATTATATTCTTATATTTCTTCATTTTAGCTGTTATTTTCAACTATAAATGGTGCAATCTAATTTTTCACTATGCAGCATCATTTCAATAGAATTTTGACTTGCTGTACAGAGTGCACAGCTGTCAATGAACTTCGATGCATTCAATCACGTACCACTTGAAATATTAAGAGCTCCTTCCGAAGCAAAGGTCTCTTGGGATAGCCAAGTTTCATTACCATAGGAAGCTTCGTTATACGTACACGAACCTCCTTGCGAATAAACGCCTTCTGCATCACTGACACAAGGATCGGAAATCCTCCCCAAATATGCAAAAAGCGTTGGACTTGATGGCCTGTTTAGTCGATTGCATAATTTACAAATGCTACAATTTGATACTTTAGTCGAAAAATACCAATTACCTGGGTGCTGCTTTTGGCCCTTTAGGCAAATTAGATAGTGGGCTTTTCAAATACGTCCTCTTTGCGCCACCATGGTAAGGTTCTCGCACTCTTTGGGATATCTCATCACATGCAAAAATATTAAGCAACTAGAAATTTAATAATATAGGCTTCGCCTACATCTTCGCAACATTTTGCGCCTACTATTGCTCTGTAGTTCATTCTTGCCCATAAACATTCCTTTTTGTGTAGGAAAGGTGTTATGTGGTCCCTCCAGTGTGGTCCGATTGCCCAGGGAAATATCTCATATTTTAGATCCTCATCATCTTCTTCGATATCATGTGCAAGATACCTACAACGTTAATAAACGAAAATAAAGCACTTACAGACAACAGAAGAAGTTTGTCCTGGTGTACTCATTTAGATCGAAGTTGCATCGCTTGAAGTAAACAAAAGTCATTGCAAGTAAGTACTTCAAAATTAAAAAAAAGTAGTACTGCTTACTTTGTCTGCGTACAGGTAGCACTTATCGAACTTCAAAAACTTCCTAATGACCGGATCGATCACTAAAACGGGTTTACATTAATGGGTATAAACTCACAAACAAGATTAAGGAATTCTTCTATCTCCTCCTGGTTTACTATGCATGGATCACGCCCACTACGTTGGGGATCGACCGAGAAAGACTCTCTGTTCATGTTTTCAATCATTCGAAGAGATTTTCGTTTGGGCAAACGTTTGGATATTCCCCTAGGGTTTGCCGAAGGCGTGTATCTGACATTTCTTTTTTTAATAGAATTTGATTTAAAAAGACACAACGGCAATACATTGCCAGTATTGATGTCATCAAACCAACATTTATTCATAATAAATATCTGCCCCACGGAAATAGAAGAACCACTTTAAAATAGCGAGCGTGAAAAAGCCAACTCTATTATCACGCAAAAGCAATGACTAAAACAAAAGAAAAACCATCTAAGCAAGCCAGGGAGCTAAATATATCATAAAGATTATTTAAGAAAACAAACGCACTATTAGGTGGAGCACCACAAAGCAAACACGGATGATTTTACTTTGTCTTTTAATAAAATTATAGATGTTAGACATATCTAAAAAATATGAATTAAGCCGCTAAATGGCTGCTTACAGGTAGCGTTTTGATGAAAAAGCTGGCTCCATTTTTAAAAGTACAAAAATTATGGTTATGTTATTTTTAAAATAACTATTACAATTCATGGGTGGTTGTAGGAAAGTAAAGCAACAGGTAACTAAATCAAAGATATTTTACAGTCACGCAATTCGAAAAAAATGCAAACCTTATCCTTGATTATACCTTGTTTGCAGAAAAGGGCTCAATAAATGTGCGTTGATATATTGTCAAATTGGAGCAAATTGAATCGAAACTTTAACAAAATAATTGATACGGAGTTACAGTCAATAATCTATTAGGTAGAAATCGCGTATAGGTGCAAAATTTTGCACAACACGTAAAAAATATTTTGGGTTACTTAGTAGCCATTTTTTAAAATGAGGTGCTTAATTTGATGAGAATAGTGAGTTTCATAAAAAATCACGTCACATTTTGTTAAAAGAGCTAATTGATACACTCATGTCAATATTTGTTGCTTTCCTTGATAAGCAAATCTATTAAAACATGCGCGAACTTGTAAAATAAACTCTCCCGCATTTAAGGACTGGTTTCAAGTTCTAATACAGAGCCAGAAATTCGAATAGTAAGGAAAAAGTATTAAAATGCCGCCCATTTTTAGAAGGCAAGTCTTATTAATATTGTAAGTGTGAATACTGTGACATGAGATTGCTCAAACTGAACTTAAAGGCGGTTTTTATACAATAAACTCACCATTATTAAGGACCCAAGACATAAGAGATTGCTTTCGTGATTAAAGCCAATATATGCGCTATTGAACCCCGCTTGTACTCTCCTGCCAAAGTGAGTCCAAATTTGTTTACAATTCCAATGGGTACAGCAACCCTCCAATAGAATCGCATGACTTCAATTTCGTTGGCAGACGTTTCTGCGAGGAACGAATCCACTTCAGTTCTTGAGAATACACACCAAGATCGTTTGTGTCAGAAACTAAACCAGAGTACCTCGAAGCATTTACTGAAGTTAATATATTTTTATTCCAGAACCAGCAGACGTTAATTACTGCAACTTACACCTGGGCTTAAAGTATCAATTTAATCTTGGAGTAACAATCGTAACTACGCTTAACGAGTACAAAACATCAAAGGTTTAAAGCAATTAAACCAACAGGTGGCTATTAATTTGCACCATCGATAGAGCATATAGCAAGCTTAATTTGGGAAACTGTGCCCTAAAATTTAACAAAAAAACTGTTTAATACTACGAATTTCGGAACACTTTAGTTCTTTTAAGCATCGCCCTCGTGGGATAAGTAATCCAAAAAGGAACACACGCTCACAACACCAGGTATCTTAATACATTCTATTTATAGTAGGTGAGAATTGAAAACCTTGATCATCGTAGACCACTGGGCTAGTGCACAATACAAATAGATTGACAGACCATCAAAAGAGCAATAAATTTGACTCAATTGGGAGGAGGGAATTAAAATTCAGCGTCTCCTGATCAAGAAACTACTCAGCCTTAATTATTGAGCTGTGGGGGTCAGTGAACGCATGTGCTGGATGGGTTTACTGAGTCAAGCAAACAAGGAAGCCTACCAAAAGCCCCTAATATAAGAGTGGCAGTTAAATTGTACTAAATTCATGCCAACATGTCTGCTTATTCTGAGCGCCGGCCACCAGGCGTCTAGCACCTTGGGCCCCTGTTAATGCCTGACTCAACTCTTTCCCCATGCCCACACGTAAATCACACAGGCTTAACTCTCAAACACAACTCCCCACTACACATACAGACTTGGGCTCACATGAGACCTGTCTATTGATTAGTTTCTGTAGGCTTGTAGCACGGGCCCAGCACGCGGCTTCCATCGTGAATTTGGCATGAGTGATCAGCCAAAAGAGTCCCAATGCCTCGTTGTCCCGTAAATTAGTGTTCCGAGGGCTTAATGCAGCTTAATGCGGAGACGTAGTGGAGGTAGTTCAATGCACCTATTTAAATTGAAACAATCCGATTTGAAAAATCCATGATTAATTAAGAGCGGCGTCGCGACAATGTTTACGCTTTTACGAAATCAGACGTAACATCCGGACGAACTACGGAGCTGCTACGGTTAGAGAATAGTCCGAGAAAAGCCCGAAATTTGTGCCCTGTGAATTGCATCCACAAATTCCAGTTTTGTTTAAATGTCATAAAGATGAGTACGCAAATGAACGTGTCGATTTCCACTCTCTGGCAGTGGTAGCAGTTCATTTCTAGGGAGGTTGAAATTTGTAAGAATGCATGTGCTGCATTTGTGGATAGCATGGAGTCGGTTTTTTCGTTGTTGCTAGTCATGCAGTACATAAATTTGTTGGAATGATTGCACGCTCACAATTGCCATTTCATGGAACTCCCTTAATACTCAAAACATCCATGTCTCCAGGTAGACTATCTTATGCACAGGAAGACAGTCTTGAGAATTTCTGCATTTATAACAGACCAGTTTGCAAAAGTTCTTGATGAGAGGTAACAGCATTCACCGGTCATTAAAGCCTTGATCAAAAGTTATTCGCTTACATTCAGACGGTAGTGGGTGGGAGGGTTTTTAGTCAGAAAAGGACAGCAAGTGGCTGGAGGTCTACGAAGCAAGGTTATTCAGATGAAGTGTTCAAATTGACGCACGGAGTTCTCTCCCCGAATGTGTTAGAGCCAAACTGTGCTCTGAATTGTTCAGAAATTTGCCTTACAAGGCTGGATTGAGAAGAGCCTGTTGTGGCTTAGCAGCACTACCTTACAACCCTCTAGTTAACAGCCCGTAACAGGAGAGTAACGATGGGCCGTATCAATCCGACAAGAGTGGGTAATTCCGCATGGTTATTGTTTCCAAATTAGGTCATTTTGAGTGATACAAGAAGAGGGTGGAGTTTCAGCGGAATTCAACTGCTGTTACCATTCTCCATTCGAAATTCATCAACCATCTTTAGCGGTCTATCAAGGAAATCGGCTGGTAGACAGTGCTACGGGATCTAACAGTAAGCTTTAAGCCAGAAATCTGCTTTACAGGCCTGGATTGAGAAGAGCCCATCCGGAATATGTTGGATTTAACATCGATCTAGGAAGGAATTAAAATGATTTGTTCCCATGTGAGGATTGATTGTTCTGACCAAGGGGCTTCTCACTGTAAATTGACGAGGAAGGATCAGCCTGCACGATATGGGCAGCATTTCCGTGAACTCCTTGCCAGCATAGGTTGAACGGATCCGATGTTTCTTGTGTGATTACCACCGGTTAGGTGCGTGCCCATCCTCTGTTGTGCGATATAAGTCAAAAAGCATGACCCTTAGTGCACATCCCAATTTCTACAAAATCGATATTTCAGACATTTAAACAAGAGTACTTTTCATGATAACGGTTACCATTAGGAGCCTGCATTCTTCTTGGGATGCACAGAATACCAATAAACTGTTGGCCCGATTCGTCTATATAGATTTTTCTCTGTTTTCGAATTACTATTGCTTTGAATCGGATAATGATTAAAAACAAAATATTGAATAGCTCCAACCATCGCGTCGAAGAAGGAATGACCTCTAGAGGTCAAATCAAGGCCGCGTTAAGTCGGAAGTCTACATTTACTTCTCCTGCATGAATGCTCGAATACCATAGGCCGACAGTGGCATTGCATGACCTCCACTGTTAATATGTAACTAAATGAAACACTGCGCAGGATTTACATTAACTCACGAATTCCCCGCACGGATTAAGGTGGAACATGAACCTTTTGAAAGAGTAGTTCGTACTTAAGGACTTATTAACGCACAGACATTATGCTGTTGATAATTAGTGTAAAAGCAATCAGCGCTATAGCACATTTGAGTTGTAATCACTACGAGAACCTACACAATTGCACAATAATGAGCAAGGAAAAGCCTGCATCTGTTACCAGCGACTATTAAGTCGTGGTTGACTTGTCTTAATAAGATAGCCAACAAGATCACAAACAAGACTGCGCTCTACACGTTCCCAATTCGAGGTCACGATTCCAACCAGTCGCCATAAGCAGAAAATGACCCAAAGCCGCCGCAGCATTGCAAGCTCCTTTCGATTGCTCCACATCCCATCCTATTAATTACTTTTCCCAAGGTCACTCAGGCTCCACTCAAGTGGGCGTGTTTCAGCGCGCGATTCGGCCTTGCATTGGTTGTCCAGGCAACTCTCGTTACCGATAGACTAGCGGCTACCAGATTCACGAGTAAATCATGAAAAGTTGGCGGAGGAAGCCAGTACCACAAGCTTAAACCCACAAGACCACAGCCCAAGATGCGTCCTCTTGTCCGTAAGGCAAAAAAGTGCAAGGTCAACTGCAGCTGTTCAGTTTATTCCAAAAAAGAAAGACAAAAATAATGTACAGGGTTAAAAGCATCTCTTTATTAACATTTCAAGTTGCGCATACATACACACACACATACGCACACACCTCAACCAACGGAGGATTGGGAGCGAGGGGCAGGCAAGTAAAGGGTTACAGCAAGCACGCGACTAACAGGCGGAACCGTTGGAACGAGCCTGGATGACACGCAACTAGAGCGCGGTGCCAGAGGGCTGAGGACTAGAGACGGTCTTCTTTGGTGACCGAAACTCATCTCCCACGGTAGCATCTACAACTGGCACATTCAGCTAAAGGAAAGTAGGAAGCGGTGAGTAATTTGCATCACTAGTGCTGGCAATTCCTAGCTAATCCACCTCCTCCAACACAGATATTTGTGAGAATTTGTATGGCGGGCAAGGATCCCTGGAGTTGGAATCGCTGTTGGTGGGATTTAAGGTTTTCATTGAACGTTTGTCGCGGAGAAATAGCTGTTTGCTCAAATCTAACTGGCCTGACATCAGACCGCAGGCTACTCTCAACCAGCCAGTTTGCCAGCAGACCCTTAATAAGCCTAGTTCAAAGTGGTACAGTTTGGATTAAGGCAATGCAGTCCAAAGCTACCTCATCCATCGCGCACAGGGCATCGCCGGAACCAGCGTCCGTGGGTCGGGGACTTGCGATGGGGCTACCACCGCCACCACCACTCTTCCCCAGCCTTGCTCCTCGGCTTGGTTCCTCTTGAGTTAGAGAAACCGGTGGCGTGAAAGACATGACCAGCTTACGACCGTGGAACTGGGGGAACATCCGTACCGCAGCTTCGGCGAAGTCACGAGTGCAGAATGTGATCTCGATGACGGGCTGACTGTCGTTGCCAGTGGTGAAGGGTCGGAATGATTCGGTGTAGAGGTAATTCAACTACAGCAGTTACAATGGAAGACTGTTGATTTTCTAAAGAGGCGTAACCGGTACTCCCTGGTCTTACGACGATGGAAACACAACTACCTACCATCACGTAACAAAGCGAGCTGACTCGATAAACAGCAGAGAAAAGGGGAGGGGCATTAATGAAATCAAACAGAAACTACCAACACACGTACAGCAAGAGCCTGTCTGAAGTCCTCAACGTCGTAGGTGCTGTGTCCGGTGACGTAGAGCACACGAGGTCGCTTGTCAAGCTTTGTCTGACCTCTGACTGGTAGACCGGACGACGCGTTTATTGCGGCCAAATCACTTGGGCGAATTGTCTCAAGATTAACCAGCTAAGAAGACAAAAAAAGCACAGATTAAGAGCCTTGATTGGCCTAAAAACGAGCAACCAATCAACTCATGAGAGCTGTGAGGTGACCCACAAAATTCAGAAATCGCAGAGCACTCAACGGTGGCCGTCTAATCACGAGCGTGTGCAAGCCAAAACACACGCATAAAGATGCCTTTGCGGTTGAGAAGACAATAATGCAGAGTGGCGGAAATGGTGCCAAGGTGGTCAGCCTACCTTTCGCTTGAGCTCGGTTATCTTTCGACGCATTCCTGCATGGGATTCGCTCGTCGAATCGGTTGTCTCTTGCAGTTGGTTTTCTAATTCAGCGAGCTGTCGCTTGACCTGAAAAAAAAGTGAAAAACGCAACATCAATTATGAGTTATAAAGTCTGTCGGTCCAATTCGCACGCACAAATTCCTGAACCACCGAAGAGTCCCTTGCAGAAAATGGACTGGCTTTATTGACCACTCCAGAGGGTCCTTTATAGAAAGGTTGAAAAAACCACACAAACAACCGTGAGATGCCTCGAAGTCTCATAAACATGAAAACCACACCTTCCATAAAACGATCGTGCATAGGCGGCGCTTCTAGGTTGTTGGCACAAATCGAGACTGGATAAATGAAACGCTAACAAAGCCGCGCTCACTTCAGCCATCTTCTCCAGACGCTCAGTGGCCACAGTATCTGGCAGAAGCTGTTGAACGGTGGCCTTCTGTTTGATGTCGTCGGTAATTCCGCTGACACCACCAGCGCTGCGTTTTAGCGGCGGTTGTTGGGCCTTCTTAAGCTCCACCAGTTGCTTGTAAACGGTCTTTGCCTTGTCCCTGAGGGAGCGTTCGACTTCAGAGTTGGGAGGATTCTTCAGGGATGCGAGGGTCTCCCTCAACTCTGCGCTGAGTTGAGCTAATTGCATCTGTCGATCGGCCTCGGCTTGCTGGCGTGCTGCTCGCTGCTACAAGGTGTAAAGAACAACCCGTATTTATTTGCTTTGCTTTATTGAAACGCCAGGGACAACTGGGACTCAAAGACTTCCCCATTGACACATCGTGGCTGTAGAACATCAATTAATATAACCCAACAGGAGACCATTTGGTAAAGCACAAACTCACGCGTGGAGACCTACGGTGCGCAAGGCAACGCCAAGTGCACAAGGAAACTGCCTTGACCGCTTTCCATTCAATGGGCTTAAGGCAGAAACGCACTCGAATCAACCAGTAGGATACACGTCTGGCCCACGCCACAACATCTACTCACGCATTCCACAGACTTTGGTCCCTCCATTTCCCCGCTTTAGCGCGAAAACAACTCCATCCAGAAAGTGCAAAAGCACTTTGTGGATGGAGTGCGCGGTACCCGGTTCCCGAATTGCGAAATTTGGCGCAACTTACGTGAATCGAAATACTGAACAGGGCCGGTTTGTGGTCTGGTACATCAAAGTAAGCTACCATCCTAAGAACGATTCCAAAAAATGTCCTTGGGGTCTAGCCATAAATTAGACCCCGTCAGAATCTTCGGACACGAAACAATGAGACGTGAAAAAAAGCAGCTTTAGACACGTGACCCCAGGACTTGGCGTCCAAATGTTGTTATGAAGCACCGCAGATGCAGTTTAAGTTCGTGCTTAAAACCGATGACTCTTCTCAAGACTGACGAAATCAGCGCTTCAACGCACAAAATTAGGACTACTATCGGTCTAATCGAAAACAGGTGTTGATTAGGAAAGCGGCATTGTAGTCTTTCTCAGCGAACTGTCCATTAACTTACGTGACCGAAGTAGCGTGTGGGAATCGCCAAAAGTGGGATTAATGCCACGAAATACCAAAAACCTTTTTTGGCAAATTGACACCCCAGAAAACTAACTGTCGTACGAGCACAAAGCAAAAGAGTGAGCCTAGTTTTGTCAAATGGCAGCAACAAAGCGTGTCTACAACCTTTTATAACAATGGGTGCTATCGCCCGATTCGAAAACGGGGTTGCTTTGGTACCAGTGGGCAGGGCTGGAGTTGGCTGATGCGTCTTTTTAAGCAAGGTTTCGACAACAAGGCATCCGCAAGTACACCGACAGGGGCACAAAAGAAATGGTGGCGCGTTACTACTCACCTTTTCAAACTGAGCAAGTTTTGCCTGGTGTTCCTTCAAAGCGGTGGCCTTCTGACGCTCCCAGAGAGCCTTTTTGCGCTGGAGAGCTGCTGCTACGTCAGGGTTTTCGTCGATGCTACTCGTAGAATTCCAGGAAGTTCGCTGAAAACAATAATGTGTGTGTGATGACCATTTGTAATGGCAACTATGGGCAAGTACGCATTAGTAACTTAAGCCGTAAGAGTGATGCTCTAGCAGGACATATACCAAAGGTACAAGGAATAAAGATGTCTACTGCAGAGGTGATTTCTGTGTTCTAACAAGTCTGAAAGTTGTCAACAGTAGGATTACTCACGTTAGGTACAAAAGAGTCGCCATCATCGGGGTCACTAGAACGAAGACGTTTCTTCTCGAGCTCGTCCAGATCGTCGTCAAGATTGTCTTCATCATCATCGTCCTCCGCGCTTACCGGATTCCCATCCTCATCACGCTCGAGACGCCAGCGAGAACGGTTGTTGGGGAGAGTCCTGGTTGTGCTACCGCCACCACCACCACCACCGCCGCCGCCAGAACGACTGCGCTTGAGGAAAGGCGAGGAGGACGAGGCATCGCCCAGGCGAAATTTGGCAGGCAGACGAGACGATACCGGCTGGGCATCCCCCAACAGGGACTACAACGAGCGAGAAGTGCAAAAAGCGTCAATATCATAACAGAGTACGTTGACAGGAAAACAACCACAGCTGCGCACCGACTTCGAGCATTTGAATAGGGTGTGAGAGTGGGCTGAAATCAAACATGACGCCATATCACGATTTAAAACGTGGGTTCTAGAATGGTGTCACAATGAAATCTGACAGAGGGGATGAGAAATGAGGGGGCTACATTAAAGAGGTTAGATGAGATGTGAAGAGTAACAATCGAGTTGAACAGACAGGAAATGTAGAACTATTTCCACGCCGACTATAAAGCCGCAGTCTCCCGAAGTCGAATTCTGTACACACACATGTTTACTTGTTGCAGTTTTCAGCCAACAAGTAGTAAACAACTTCATCTTACTCGAGTTTGGAGGCGGATAGTTGGCGTTGGTCATAAAATCGACTACCCATTTCTCCAGAACTTAGCACTGCACTGCACTTTTAGCATAAAGACGCTGTTACATTCTCAATTTAAATGTCGATGTCATTTCCCGTACATAAGAGTGCATTCACATGTACTTACACACCACAATGCAATGATATTAGACAAGTCGCTTGATATTGATGGCAGATTTGTGATTATTAACACCAAATGGCCGTTACGAATCCTGGAGTAAAAAAGTAGTAACATCACAACAGCAATTCACGAATTTTCACTGTGCGAATTTGTCAATTCATTCATTCAGCACCCGTTGTTTGCACACAGAAAAGAACTACGAATATCACTTACACTACAGTTTTGCAAGGAAAACGACTGCTTTAGTTAAGACATCACATGAAAACTCAAAAGGCATAGTTGGAGGAGTCTAGCAGGACAAGTATTAAACTAGCACGAACAATTAAAAAGGAGAGGATAGATGAATAAGCACTTTAACACCAAAGAGCTTACGATGTGGGTAACAATATCGTTATTTCATACCTCACTATGACAGCGATAACTGCACACAGGGAAGTTGAAACACATGAATCACGTTAATATCACACTTAAAAAGCTCAATCGGCGACAAGATGTTGGGGTTGAGACCATATAACGCGTTATTGAACGTCGGCGTGATTTTTTATCATAGGGAATCATCAAGTGGGCATTCCAAGAAGACAAGTATGCAGCACGTGGAAAGATGTGACGATGATAAATTACCTGACCAAACTGGCTAAATCCAAGCGTCCCACCATGGCGCCTGTATCCCGCACCTCTGAATCGACCGCCCATGCGACCACTGGCGAAGTTGTTGGTATTATTGTTTGGCCACAATGAAAGGCGAATAAATCGATTAGAGAGGATGGGTTCGGGGCTCCGATAGGCCGCTTCAGCCTCAGCCGCCGAGGCATAGGTTACTAAAGCCTGGGAGTTTTGACCGCCAAAGTTGGTCTGGATGTTGACCAAACTACCGAAGCGACCAAAATGATTCCTGAGTCTCTGGAGATCATTCAGTCGCCAAGGTAATTTCGTCACCAGGAGAGAACACTGTTGCTGGGTTATCGGACTGGGCGTGTATTCGGCGGTGGTGGCTGTCGCACCACCTTCCCCACGGTTTGTCCCAGAGCCCTCGTCCGAGAGCTCGGGCCGAGCGGGCTCGTATGCGGGAGGGGTTGTAGGAGGGGAGAGGCTTTGTTCGTGGCGCTGCCGGGAGGAGGAGGAGGGATCGTAGCTACTGTTGTCCATGGGAATGGGGATGATGTTCTTATTAACAATGCTCGGACGTGGACGAAATAAGTGGGCCGGCTTCCGAGCGAGAGCCTCGACAACTAAACAGTGAGAGGCGAAAAACGAGTGTTCATATGGTATTCATCTGCACAGAACTATTGAGTATCACTCATCGTTCAAGTGAGATTCACTCTCAACACGGACCTTTTGACAATTCTACGTTTTGCCATTAAATCATTCTTCGCCAGCACAACAGATAAATTCGGCGGTTTAACGAATGGGTATGCCTATACCATTATCGATCTTCTTAAAAATCATACGCCAGTGATGGAGAACCATTCACAAAAACCAAGAAGAAATTGACTCTGCGGCAGAAAAAGAGAATGAAATTTGCAATTTGCAATTTTTGCTCTTTTTGCATTTCTGGGCAGAATAAAAGTTCCTTATAAGTTGAAAAAAAATGGCGATTGTCCTGACGACAGCATGTTTTAAACTTTTGTCATCTAGATAACGTAACCGGATTAGTAAAAAGTTGCACTTTTCATCACTAGAGGTCAGGCAAGAAGTACGATAAGGACTAACCAATCGACTGCAAATACACCTCGAAAAGCAAATACTAACGCGTCTTTACTTGCAGACCATTTCTAACGATGCTGACTGATGCAATAATTGCGTCAAAATAACCATAAAATTGCAGAGAATATGTGCACAAAAGGGTCATCTCAAGATAAAGACTTCAACCACTATGTTTAGATATGCAAACAGTCGTCAAGTGAAGTTGCTTGTTGATATATGGGAACATTCAAGCCACCGAAAACCGTTGTACATGGTTTCAAACGAAACGACAGAAAAACTTACTGGGAGTAGGGTTATATATAGGTAATGCACCAGATTCGATGTCTTCTTGTTCCACAGAAGACGTCGGCTGAGTATCGTTTCCACCATCGATAATTCCATTGGGACCACTTGGGGATGTCCGTGGAAGGAGACAGCTGCCGGTTGCAGCAAGCGCAGTATCAAATAAGTTTGCTGTCCAAGCAGCGGCCGTGTTTCCTGGTATTACGAGTGCGTCACTGCCATGATCAAACTTGCACCGATCACCGTAAATGCAGAAACCTCGCTCATCAAAATTACGACATCTACGACGCGGGTGACGAGTCTCTTCCGAGTCCTCCGGTTTCCCCCCACGAAGTCTTTCCACTCGAGCGCCACGTTCTCGAGAACGCTCGTTATGCTGTGGCAGTGCCCGCTCAAGGCGCTGCGTTGGACGTTCCCGTTGGCCCTCATTGTCTTCTGCATCAGAAACATCCGATCGGGAGCGACGATGCGGTACGCTTCGATCATTGAAATCCTCGGGATTGTACTCATGGGGTTCATGATGATGACGCCTGGAATCGCCGGAATTTTGATAGTGTTGACGCCTACCACGATGAGCATTCGAATCCATGGGGGCGTCTGATGGAGAGCGAAAGCTATCCAGCATTGGAGAGCGTTGGTGAGGCCTGCCAAGCCTTTCCGGGGAATCAGAAAGAGGAGAACGATTCCTCGAAGTAGATTTACCTTGTGGCCGCCTGTATAAACGCTCCTCCACGGATGGTTTTTCAGATGGAGGTAGATCAGTGGTTGGCGATGTAAGAGCGACAGCGAACATCTCCTCAACGAAACTAACTGTGTTATCACCGAGAAGTTCCTCTAATTGGTCTATGCAAAATGCCTTGAGTTCGTTCTCCGGCTTGTCCTTACTGATAAGGACGAAAATGTATTTCGATAGTGGAATGGGATCGGATATTGATCTGCTCAAAAGAGAGAGAAAGTAGACACCGGATAATTTTTTTCCATAATTGACAAAGCCACATAGCGATAAAAAAGAGCCATTTTAATTAGTAAGAATATATAGCGTAATTGTACGTGATCATAACATAGATTTAGCAATCCATGCAAAGAATAACGCACCACGTTTCCAAGTGGGCACGAACGAGAAAAATATTGGAGTCAACGTAAAATCTACATTTGAAATAAACAATTTAAAGAGTTTACGACAAACTCTTTTCAGCGAAAGCATTATATTAGATATAATATGCGGGAGTAATGAATACTTAGAGCCCCTAGGTGGAATGATTCAACGTTAGAGAGGAATCAATGATGCCTAGGACGAACTCAGATGAAGGAAGAGATATTTTTCGAATTATTTACAACAGTGATAGAAAGCAGACCTTAAAAACTAAAGCCATGTTGGCCTCTCTCCTTAAATATGCTTTCATAGATCGAAATTTGTAGCAATCATTTTAGTATAAAGAGCGCGGACGAGACGAAAACCAAAATTGAAGAAAAAATTATTGCATAGTGCATAAAAAAGACTCATCTTACCACAAGTTCTGTGTTACAATTAAACAGCTAAAAGCACAATTAAAATTGGAAATTTTTTACAGGTCTGAAAATGGAACATGCACAGTTATGCCTAAGGGAGTGACACTATGCGTTGATTAGTGATCCAGGACGCAAAATATGAAAGCAGCTAGACAAGACCTACAAGGATGCGATTTTTGTTCTTAGCCAGTTTTTTAGGGCACCTTTGTTAACACGCATGCTCGGTAGCACAAATCATCCGCAATATTTTCGAAAAGGCCGCGGGAGTCAACTTTAAAACGCCATTACAACAAACCTTAAGTCATAGCAATGAAAAACTCTAAACGTTGATTTAAAATGTGTATTTCTTAGCCCAAGTAAAATACGGTGTTTATTTATAAAAATTAAGTGTCTTTTTTTAAAATATTAGCCTTACAAAATATAGTTTTCACGATATTAACGTTATTTATCAGATTTATCTGTAATTAATTGACATAAGCTTAGAAACCGGGGGTCAGCGATCATGATTTTTTTATTATTCATATGCAAAAGCATGTTTACCCATTTTGCAAAGTCAAAAACGTTGGTTACATATTCTAGATTAACTTTGACGATGCATTATCTCATCAATCGCTAATTTTGTAGAACTTGGCTTGCAAACAAATGCCTGGGAGTCTATTTTTTGTTTAACATTTTGAAAAATTCGAATAATATTGAGCATATAGTAATGAACGTCAAAAAACAGGCACAGCATGTGCGAAAATCAGTTAAAACTCCAAGGAAACAAATATTTACATTCATTGACATAAAGCATCACCAGCTCTTAAGTGTTAATTGAGTATAAATATCAATAATAATATTTTTATGGATGTTTTTGCTAGTTTTTCAATACTTGCGAATGGCAGGATAACCTACAGGACAGACGATTATTTAACATTCATTGTCAAATTTGTTAAGCCCAACTGCTCTGTGAAAATAAATATTTGTGAATTTACCGATTAACGCAACATTTTAACTTCCTTCAGAAATCTAATTACCACTCTAAAAGCGCACAAGGAACATCACTTAACCTTACGATGAAGGAACCTGGATTTGTCTAAATAAACCATCAACAAATTGAGGTTCAATACACTATGGCGAACAAAATATTAACTAATGGTCTTCGAACCCAAGTCAAAGGTTAGTTAGTTTAACTTTTCCTGAAACTAAAAGGGTTAATGAGAATGCTAACATTTGTTGAAACATGAGACATCCGGTAGCGGTTAGTCATCACGGGAAGATCACAGAGTAATAGCTACTGTAAGATTGCCTTTTTTTAACTTATACCTCGCCCGATCCATTTTCATTGCCAAATCTAAAAAACGTGACTTTCTAATTGGCATAAAGGTTCAAAATCACCTATTCCTTTTAAGAGAGAACTCTCAACATATCTAGGATTGCTTGCATTTGTGAAAATTCTCGTATATAAACGTAATTAAGTGCGATTGATGACACTTGAATTGTATCCTTTAGCTCTAAAATGACAACCACGAAAGGGCCTGGACAGTGTTTTACTTGACCCTCGTTTGCACAAAAGTTTTTTGAACACCAGAATATAACCATCAATTGTTAATTCGATCTAGAAATGCAGAGATTCCGGAGTCAAAAGACGGTCGAGTTCCAGGTTCCTGCATTCACCTGTACCATCCTCTACAAACTAAGAGTTAAAACAATGTTAAGGATTCAGGGACAAGAGTCAGGGCCAGACCCACTGGACTAAATTGATTATCTACTGATGGAAATAAGTAGCCTAAAACCTACCGAAAGTCTTCTTAGTCATGTATTTTAGTATTCTAAAAACGTTGACTCCTACTAGTGATCTGTTTAACGAACACAATGTTACTAATAGACCTTTTCAAGTCAACCTATGACAAAACACAGCTACGACGTTCGAATAGGAAATAAGACTATTTGTCCGTTAAAAAACCGCGAACCTTATTGTAACAAGCTTGAACACAACCTAAAAGCTCACTTTTCCAAATTGGAACGGAATATTTTAGCCATGCTTCCCAGCAAATGCGCTCATTGCTTCGATCGTTAAGAGATATTAGCGGAAAAGTACTATTCATTTTGGGTTCCTAAACCGCCTAGCAACAAACTACAAGGGTGCTTTCAGATACCTGGCTGAACAAAAAGGTTGACTAAGTCAGTAAGCAGGAAATCTAACGCTGAAACACTCCAATGGAAATGCAAGACCCCTTGTCTGATTACAGGCTCTGTTTAGGTAGATGGCGATGTGATGTTTTACTTAATCACTGATGACGGCGAATTCAAGAGACAATCGCAAGACCGACTGTGCTTCAAGGATTACTAAGTAAATTTAACAAAATGACTTGAAGCGGACAGTACAGTCTTACTTAGTTGTCACTGGTTAAGGAATCTTTCCTCGGGACTTGTATTTGGTATTTTATGAACTACCACAACCTATTAACTACCACTACATAATCAAAGCTTATTCCATTCTCTGCATCAATTTTCGGAAGACATTGCATGACACTGTGCTGCACACCACTTTGGCTAATCGTTTCCGAGTCGCGCGGTTCAGTTGGTGCTATCTGAAGTGCATTATGGCCTCAATGAGGCAATACCTTACTGTGGCTTCAACGCCCGCTATCAGCGGTATAGGACCGTACTTCGACCAGCGTTCGAAACCCAGACTTACTCAATGTGCTAACGACTGCTCGATTATTACGAAGTTATTTGGCTGTCGATTCTGTGTGTGCACATTGCACAGACCCGTCTTTACCTTTGGCTGTTTTATAACATTGTGCACCTCCAGTTGGGCATTTTGTTTGGTTAAAGTAACTTCAGTTGGCGCAGAAATGAATGCCCCACAGATATTAACGAATACCATTGCGGGTTTAGTGGACAGACAGCCACCCCTCTTTTACCCCTTCTCGGTCTATAACCGGCTGTTAACTAGAGGGTTGCAAGATGCAACTAGAAGAGTACTCGCAATAGGAACGTAGCCCTTTTAATGGCTTTAATTACTTGGCGCTGGAATTCCGTGCAATCAATTATTAAGCAAGTGACTTTCTTGAAATAGACTTCACAAATTGAGAAAAAATAAACTGTAAGTTGTAGTAAAGTTATTCTTCAGAGACACCAAACCAAAAAAATAAATGAAGGCAAAAGAACAGAAAATAGTATCGAATGAAAAGTGAGGAAGAATCCCTAATTCTCATTAACATCCGGAGAGGATGACTTTTCTGTCTGGCTCAAGGGTTCCTTTTTCGTAAGAAGGATCGCACTTTCAGACTTCAAGGGATCAATAATGAACCGGTTGGCTTCGTCGTTGACTCGTTGTTTCTGGAGATACTCATGCTCCCAGAGATAAATGTCAAATTTGGGATCCGTGATGCCCACAAGACCCGCAATTTTTTCTCCCGCCATGTCGGTCACTTTAAGTATTTTTTTGGATAAAACCTTGGTGCCCGCAAGCAGGCGTTGAGGCCAGGCCTGATGACTCGTGCCCTGAAACACAAGGAGATGCTTAAGCATATGGTTAGTTATCATCTTTATCAATAAAAGGTGCAGTCAATCTACATGATGATGCTGTCTGCGTGAAAGAATGCAACTAAATCATTCGCACAAAAAAGTCGTATTCACGGTTTTAGCCTCAAGCAGCAGTAGTTTTTTTCCTGCAGTAGCACCTATTCAGCTAATCTTCAGGGTCATGAAGATTTGATTACGGTCCTATTATCCCCAAAAATAGCCAAACTGTTTTTTAAAAAGACCATTGAATGGTAAATAGTGAAGGCTACTATGTATTGCGGAATGTAAACATTTATAAAATATAGTGTGACAAAACGACACCGGAACCGTATGAGATTATTTTACACTAGATGCTTGAAAACCTAAATGCTAAAAAATGAAGAAACAACCACCGCAGATAATTTGGCAACATTGATTTTGCGTAAAAACCGTGTAATCTACGAATTTTAAATGGACGTGGAAAAACTACGCAGAACTTGAAACTATCTTACACCATGCTTGAGTTCTGCTGCCTCCTTTGCAGGGTTATTGAATAAAAACAAGCGTTTCGAATTAACGAAAAGGCGAGGCGACATCAGCTTTTAGGATATTAAGCACTAGCATATGACATTGCAAATTAATTCTACATTAAGGACTTTTTAGAAGCTTTAACCACAGCTAGCAAAAAAAATAAATCGTACAATATGAGGTTCCGGTTCCTGTTCTTCGACAACGACATTCGAAGGCTGCTCACTGTTTTCGTAGTAATTCCCGTCACAGCAACAAATTACGCGCCCATTACACTGTTCGTTGTCGGGAGGGCAGTTCTCAGTATCCTTTGACAATCTAAATAACAAAGGCACAGTAAAGTCGCAAGATAAAGCCAACGACTGTGATGTCGGAAAAAAACTAGAACCGACGACGAACCCCATCAATCGTTGCCAAGATGGGCTACCATAGTACCGGCCATTGACCACGGCCATATTCGATAACTTCAAGGACTCATCCAATCCTCTGCGAATGAGAAACACAGACAATAACCGGATAGAAGTATCCAAGGAATAAAAGGCACTGCTAGGAGAACGTACTCGGATACATGAAAGCACATATTTTTTAACATAAGATGGCCAAATTTTTCAGCAGTTTGACGCCACTGCAGTGTCGTACAAGGGCGCAGACATGTGGGGTCCCAAGGAGCTCAGATATTCGGTCGCGTGGTACGGTGTGGCGGAGTGACAGATCGCAGCCATATTGGTGTTAATCCATTGGTCGAAGGTGAGAAGCACGCCATGTTGGCGGCGTCATGTGACCGGGGGTGCGGCTTCCGGCTGTGTGGCGTCACGCGGGAATTGAGTGACGCGCCGGGGACTGAGAGTCAATCCGCTCACGAGTTTTCCATCTCCACTGCAGCGCTGCGGAACGGACCAACGGGAGCACAGGACGAGCAGGACAAGGATATATAAAGACCCTGTTTTCTCCCTTACGCCCGACCTGTTTGTGACTAGATTGTGGCTTGTCTCAGCCCTTATTAAAAGACTCCATATTCCTTTACTCTCTCTCTCGAACATACCATGGGGCAGAAGCGTACAGTGACGACGCCTGAGGGCGCAGACGTATTGGACATGCTGGCCCCAGACAATCCTGTGTCTCTTTGCGTTCCAATGGCATGCGAGGAAATTAGGCAGCCAAGCATAGACAGACGTAAATGAGGAGCGGTATGTAACGAGCGGCGTAGCCAGCGTGGTGGACTCGGGTGGACGGCGCCTAACGTGTGGTTCTGGCTTGTGACTGGACGACAAAGTCCGCTCTGCTGTACCAGTCTTCTCCATACTAGGGCTCAAATATTAAGCAATTCCTCTGTCCACACGCGGTTGAAAAGACAGTGTCAAGGAAAAGCAGCCAACCCTATATATACAGCTCTTCATGCTTGGTCTGCGAATGTAACTCTTTGGAGTGCGATTTATCGGAGGCAAGGTTTACCGTAAAAGAACGTATTACTGCCATTAGGCTTACGTCAAAATTAAAATGGGTTATTTTGCCTCTCTTATTCTTTTACTTTACATGAAATCGGAAGTTAAACCACTGATAGTGTGGTTAAACCACTTTCTATAAATTAGCACTCTGCTCTCTGGATATAATGGCGACTGATTCCACGCAGTTACACTTAGAAGGATGCACCAATTTTGAGAAACGATGGCCATCTTTCGATTGACATCATTATTATTGTAAGAAAAGATCGACATATTCATTTTTTAATTTAAAAGCTCTGATGATTGTAGGTGAACTAAACCAGAACATAAAGAACACCCAATATTGGTAAATTTTACAAATTCGTCGTGTTCAGATTGACCCGTTTATAACGAATTAGCAGTTCGAAGTCATCAATTGAGTTATCCAACAATGCAAAGACCCGTAAATGACATATACAAACATGTAATTTTGAAAACATTCTGCAAGTGGCCCAAATCCAAAGAATGGTTTGCAATGGGCTCAGTAGAAAATTAGGTCATCATTAACTAGAACATTCCGATTTATGTCCGAATGATAACCGTCTTATCTCGTAATTGACTAACGTTTAAACATTTGTCATATTACTTATATTTTCATACAAAAAAATAAATTACTGATACCATGTTTAAGCTACTAACATAATGTGAATGGTAAAGCAAACTGACAGTAACCATACTGATTTTAGTTTGACTTTAGGAATTATGAAGTATATTATATTAAATTCTGGCATCTTATAAAAAACAGACGGTTTTTTAGCACAGTATTTTCCTTTGTCGAAAAAATCATAAATTTAAATGTCGAAATCGGGGAAATAATGTCAGTAAGGAATAATAATCAAGTGAAAATATTAGGTTAGGCTTCACTTATACTTTATTGTCTTTTTCGTTATAAAAATTTCTTTATGCAGAAATAACTATATTCCTAGTGTGCATCATCACAGGTCACAAAGTAATTAAATTCATAGGTAGATAAAATCGAGAGTAAAAGCTTAGTTGACTTGTTTAAAGAGAACGCTCGGGGTAATTCAAAGAGAAGTTTTTGTTTAAAAGAAATTCAAAGGTTGTCACTTTAACATTTGACATAATGTTGTTTTAATAACACTAATGGATGATTGCAAACCCCAGAAATCCTTTTAGAAGCTGCTACGATTTAAAAAAAATTTTAATGAATGCCTTCAATGATAACAGTTTCACAGAACGTTTAATTAAATTAAAAAAAACCAGCACTTGACAAACGGAAAATTTGATCACAGTAAAAATATTTTTGAATTTGTAGATTTTTTGGTTCCGCCTGTTTGTTTAAATAATCACTAATTAGACTTCGTGAGCGGGTTTCTGTTCTTCTGTATGTCCTTGCAAAATCTTCAGACCTACGGTAAGTTTCGATTTTTCTTCTGATGTCCTCTCTCAAGACCCTTTTGCTGATGATGGTGAGGCCAGCAAAGGAGACTGTGTCATTCACATCCGCATTCAGCAGCGTAATGGTCGAAAAACCCTGACCACTGTCCAAGGAATACCGGACAAATTTGACAAAAAGTGCATTCTGAAGGTATGCAAGAAGGATTTTGCTTGTAACGGCAATGTTGTGCAACATGAACAGTATGGTGAAGTTCTCCAGCTTCAGGGTGATCAACGCGAGAATATCGCCGGGTTTCTCAAAAAATATCTGTCAGTTACTAGTGATCAGATTAAAATTCATGGTTTTTAATCCAAATAACCAATGTACCAGACCTGTATTCTGTATTTTATGACTTGCTGCAACCTATTTATGTTTCCACATAAATAGAATTTGTTTATTTCTGTTGGGATTGTTGTCCTTCGTGGTCCATTTCCTCTACACAGCAAAATTAACCGAACGGTATTTTTCCTGAGGTATAGCTGGCATGGCTGTTTCTTCACTTTCTTGGTCATCAGGGCATAGATCTTTATTCTATGAGTATCCTTTACTGAAATGGGGGACTTTCGCCTCCACCATTGCATCCAGGTTCCGATGCCTCTCGTTCTGCCCACGTGACCTATTCGTGCTATGCTAAAATACTTCAGTTTAGAATTTTATGGGTAAATTGCGGTGTCTTTGCTGAGTAGCTGGTTGTGAAAGTCACCTAACCTCGTATTTTGGCTGTGCATCAGAACTGCCGTCTCCAAACTGTCTCACGGTCTGCTAAATGCCCTAGGGTGCTGGGGTCCACCGAAGCTCATGCTTACGCGCTAGGTCGTCTTCTGTTAATGATACAGGGACAATTTATACCGTCAGCGTTGTTGCGCCCATCATTTTCTGCCGCCAGACTTGTCATCACGATGTTTTTGAAATTGGGTGAGAAGTTTACGGTCATTAGTTGTTCTATTATGGTTAAAACAACACAATCAACCAAGAGTCAAGATTACGGGGGCAATCTCGGGTGTATAAAAATAGACAGCGGACCAACAATGGAGAAGATCGATGGGGAGATTATAACTACGAATAAGAATCAAGATTCAGTAGGTCATTCGCCACATCGGAAATCCTGGTTGATCGTGAGAATTTGTTAAGGTAGTGGTTGCACCATGCGTTGTCAGTGGGAGGCGTAGGAGCTGAAATAGATACAAACGTTGGAGTAATCAACTGGTATTTGGGGGTGTGGGATCGTCACCTGATGTGACGGTCGCTGGCAGACTATTCACACTTGTTTATTAATGCCTTATTGAAGCAGCTTGTTATTGGTATCCTGAAATTACATTACTTTGTTCAGTGTAATACGATGGTGAGTAACGGAAGAGCACACTCACTTCGCTCTGTTGATTAGCTGGGCGTAGAGAATTGAGGCGAGGAAATCAGACAGATGCATTACACCTGGAAGTGAAAGTAATGGTGATAATGTTTAGCAGTGTTGCCACGACAACGATTGTGCAGGAGGTCTTTTAGTTTACTGGTTTTAGACAGGGGTACAACACCACCAATTGAGAAATTCCTTTTATTATTGTCCATGTGCAACATAACCTTTGGCGTCGTAGGGCTGGATTTGACTCATCAACAATGATGACTTGCAAGACCTTTTGCCAGCGAAATGAGAGGCCATCGGACAATTACCTTGCACTCAGTGACAAGGCCAAATATGGCAAAAACGCTGTCACGTGAAGCGACCAACGAAACAAATAACCAGAGGAACGTATTAAGCTCTGTGCAAGTACGAGATTAAAAGCACGTCGAATTTAATACAGGCTTCTCAACCAACGATCATGATATCAGTCAACGATTCCACTAGGTCCAGATCTCGTGTACTTATTGAAGCCAAACCACATCTTTATTTAACAGCCTATGAAGCTACTGGTAGTTGAATATATTTGGCCATCTTTTACGCAGCATATATTACAATTGCGAGCTGTCGTAAGTGTTAAACTTAGAGACAGGAGAAACGAGTGAAGGGGGTTACTACGCCATCTGATCGACACTGCGACGTACCAAAAATGGTCTTTTGGCGCCAGAGCGGTGACACGCTAGTGTGGGCGACAAACACGACAGCAGGCAAAGAAAGGAACCAAATGAGATAGGCGACAGCAAAGTGAAGAGGCTCAATGACTTCGGAGAGGTTCGAAGAGGACTGGCGTCGATACAGGATGGACAGGAACCAGAACGCCAAGACCATACGAACTGCCACCAGCAGCCTGCCTGGCGTGGTGTTCCACACTGAGATGTCCAGAACTGGATCCTGATCAAACTAGAAGACGAAGACGAAGGAAAATCAATAATACAGCGTAACGGAAGGAGTGACGAGAGAACTCGGACATTTTCTGGATGGAGAACTCACCAGGGCCCAGATGTAGAGGCCTAACTCGATGGATAAGATGGCGGACATCATACAGCCCAAGTAGACGCAAGTCCTCTTCCTGCGCTGCGTGCACTTGATGAGACCACAACAAGCAGGAGTCGATTCCTCCTCCTGGTTAGCGAAGGCCAGCGACACGACAGAGGACGTCGGCACCATGGTCGCTGCCTTAATAACCTCGGAACGAGCTACTGCCGCCGACCAAGTCGCCGCGTACGCAGGCAGGAGGATTTCCTTTAGGCGACGGTGTGAATTTTGAGCGGAATCGGTCTCACCCAAAGTCCGGTTGTTTGAGAAACCAGAAGCGGATGATTGCACTACGCCGGCGCTATTAATGCGCATAAATTGGCGTTTTCTGTACCGCCGGACCTAAGCACGTGGAAGGACAGCAGAAAATTAAATTAACAGAGGAGTCCAACCTACCAATCAGTGAAAGAGCGTGTTTTCCAATCCAATCAGTGCAATTCTAAGAATCTGGGGTTACTGACAGTGACTCAATTTTGACGAAAAGTAAATAAGAAAAACTAGCTATGGGGCAGCTCTCAGAGATATGAGTGCAAAACGGATGGTGACGAATTTCCGAACGTTTAATTGGTTATTTATGTGTCATTGGCCCTAATAGTGGAAAAAACCACAATATAAAAGATGGGTAAGAATTGTGGTGCCTGCAGTAGTTGAAATAGGGCACTTTTACAGGCAGCTCAAGGCAAAATGGATTCGTGAATTTGCAGGGCGGGCGAATCCACAGCGAGGCTTTTCGCCACATTTTCGAAATGCAACAACGTAGCTTCGGCCCTACAATTCTTTGAGAAACACCATCAATTCAGTTCAGTCTGAAGATAGATGATCGATATTGATATCTAGGAATGGCAAACCAGTAAACCAATAGCATATGTTACGTCACCGTAAGAAGTAGCATCACTCAGTGGCTGTAAACTGTGGCTAGACACGCGTTTATGTGCAAATGTCCGCGTTTGCAATGTGCTATTTTACTGGTTATGTGTGCGTGCATATGACGTCACGCCCATCAAATCTAATCAAACACCTATGACTGCAGGTTGGTTTCACGAGCAAGGCGTGAATTGGTAGCTAGCCGCGATTTAAGTAAATCAGATGGTTGGTTAATGAGTAGAGTGAATTAGTCACCTAGAAAAAGTCTGGCAAAAAAAGAATATCGCCTGGGGGTAAATCCATGAAAAGGTTATAACAGAGCAAATCGAGGTAGACATAAAAGTAAGCACCATAATGCCTACCGATACAAGCTAGTCCATCCTGAAATAAATTTTGCACGAACAAAGCAAGTATGAAACCATCTTCGAAGGTATGCAGCGTTGCCTAGACTCGGCTAGACTCCAGCAAGGTCGCTCTGTTCGGAATTAGAAACCATTTGGAGCACAAACGACCACCAAAGGGCTGCGTAATCCAGACGATGGACATCGGGAGAATAAAGCACAAAAGAGCGACGACTAGAGATGCTGACTGTGAACTTGAATCGTGGTTACACTAGATAAAACGATTTCTGCAACAGTAGGAATCGAAAAGAGGAGCAACGACAGGCAAGATTGATTTCTCAAACGGGGATTACTGATGTTTCAGTGGTCAAGTATCAACACAACTGAACAGACAAGAACATTTCCGGAAGGGTAAAGTAATATCGTCCAATGAGGATTTCGGAACGTGGATTTTGGGTTTGAAAAAAAGGCTGGTAAACTGTCCAATTATAACGTTGGATAGCTAGAAAATACGGACAGGTCTTATTAAGTTATATAGAGATGCTGAAACAAACAAATTTGTCACGAAAAAATTGAATGGAATGATGTTTGGCTTGGCACCAAAGACTACATTGGTGCATAAATAGGTGAGATTTGATAAAGCGAAGGCAATTCAACCAGTAACTCAACTATGACAAGACCACTCGCTATAAAGTTTCTTAGTTCAAAGCCGAACACTAAAATCCGATCAGAAGTATAACGACTACACATGGACACAATCTAGGGAGACATTTTAAGGCGAAATCAGTATGAACTTAAATTGACCTTCAAGCTATGATTTTTTCTAGATAGTATCAACCCTCAACGAATAAGAATCACTGTGGTACAAACAATTAGACCACACCGAAGTTGTCACAGTTTGCAAATTTTGCAAAGGCGGTTCCTTGAGGGACCAATCAGAATGTGCCACTGAAAGGATCAAGAGTGGATTGGAAGATGAAGAAAGGTTACTATCTGTAGCCTCGGTGACGAAGACGCAAGTTTAAAAGTACTGATACGCCTTTTTAAGCCGTCCAGCATTTTAGTTGACGGCGCACCACGGAAAAGAATTCTCGTCTTGCAACGTTAACCAAGGATCAAGTTAAAACAGCTAACTGGCAAGGAGTACAGTCACTGGTAAAAAATTGTTGACACGAACACATCCCTGTAGTATGCCCGGGTGGTTAATACCTTCATCAACGTCAGTAAATAATGCGTGAACGCGAGGTGGACACCGTATTTGTGTGTGTGCACACGGAGTCGCCAGGTTGTGAAATCGCGTTACACACACACACACCCACCCACTTACCTTTTCCTCGAAGTGAGAGAGCTCGGCTGGCAGGATCGGGAAGCCGACGTCGGCGGTGGTGAGGATGAGGATGAGAAGGACGGTCTCGGACGCGCAGCCCAAGACGTTGCCGATGTAGAGCAGTGCACACGCGCCCTTGCCGTCGAAGGCGTAGGCGGCGAGGTGAATTGCGTGCAGGGTGGCCGCCGCGACGTACAGCCAGATGTGGGTGAAGAGAAGGCACGCCAGTGGCTCGTACTCGCCCTTGTATTTGATCTGTGGAATGGTGCAAGCACAAAAGGAAATGCTTGAAAATGAGACCCACTTGGGGCGGCATGATTGTATGCGGAAGACTACAATAACCATCATGATTTGTCTTGGTGGTGGATTTGAAGAGCTATCGGGCTGAACCATTCAGAATGCAGCCTTTTTTGGTGTTCGACAGTCACTGAAACACAGTCGATCAGCAATCGTCTTAATTTACTGAGTTTGGCGCGCAGGAGCTAAAGATCTACAAGCTGGTACTCATTTGGAGTGAGACTAATCGACAAGGATACACTTACATGTAAAATAATACCAAGGAATAAGTAGAGTACACCGAAGGTGAGGTTGATCTCAAAGATGTCGTGGTATTCGAAGGAAAATTGGTGCTCGAACCGGTAGTAATCTCGTAGTCGAGGCACTCCATTCACCATCCAAATGTCATACTTCATTTGGGCGGGCACAAATTGCTGACCACCTAGGAGGTCCGCGACAGGTGTGACCTCGGTGGAATTGCCCTCTTTATTGATTGGGGGACCAACAGCACCGGGGTGGGGCAACGCTGACGTCTCCCACTCACACGTGGTCATGTTGCGGTAACAAGCGATTAGACTCAGGTACCAGAATCTAGAAGGGAACAAAGTAAACACAATAATTAAAAATTCAGGCAGAAATTTACGTTCTTCCATTTTTCCACAATCTGACATTTCAAATCAACCGCGCACTATTCCTATTGGTTCACTCTCACGTTGAGTCAAGGTCACCAGAGATATTCGTAAATGGGATTCGAAATATGGGAGCAAAATCTCTTCTTGAGGTGGGACATGCGCTAACTAGACTTGAACTCATTATTGGGTCGTGCACTGATCTCTATTATCAGTCAGACGCTTTGATTTCGAAGCATACCGCCTGATGTTACCTAACCTAGTTAATAACGAATTTAAACGGAATCAATATCCCCACCTAATTAGTGCAAGTGTGTATGAAGCGCAATTAGAGTCTGTGATCATATTTGCGGAATATTCAGACACGTTCAAATAGAATGGCGATGGTGGTGATTTCAAACAGAGGTGCTGCAACGTGCGCCATTTAACTCACGCATACCGATCTGGCCTGGTCTTTGTCCGCCTCTTCCCTCCCGCACTCTCGCTTTCCTCAAGGCACGCCAGTGAGTCTGAGGGCATCACTGACTCTCCTCACGGCCATCCCTTTCCACGCTATAACTCTCCCTAAGTTCTAGCCCTCTGAGTTTGTATGCGGTAGTATGGAATACATTCGGTTCTTCCGGCTATTCTTCTATCGTGTGTCTGGTAGCTAACCATGATGGTGTAGCTATCTAAGAGGGACGGGCTAACAGTTATCTGCCTATTTAGGTCCCCGCTCGCTAGGAACATTACAGTGCTTCTAAAAAAGAATGGCTGGATAGCCTAGTAAAACAAAACATTGAGGCCACAGTGATTTGCAAATTAAGACAAGAATGAGCAACGTGAAGAGAAAATCGTGGTCAAATAAACATGGACTATCCATTTATTGTTTGCTATTTGAGAGACAAAACTTTCCCTGCCAAATACAGGCATGCTTTCAGCCCACAAATAATTGCACCAAAATGAATCCTTTAGTCTTCTAAAAAAGGTTCTTTCAGAAATATGCGAAACGAATAAGGTATGGGCAGCACATCTACGATAGTTTGCGCAGGTGGAGTCATCGCTCTGGCATCAGTTCAAGGTCAAATGAGCCAAAAGCAGTCTTGGTTTAAAACAATTAGATACCTGATTGCAGTACAATGCTAGTTTGAGAGAGAAAGAGACTAGGCTATCAAGGATATGTTTGCAGGTCGCGGTAAGCTGCTTTTGCGCGTTAAAGGTCAACCGTGAAATTGTCTGGTTAGCTTCAAAGATACAGAGGCTAGACACAACCAACTAATCGACCAGCCCTGTTGGTACATTAATCACGACCCTGAATTGCCTGGTCATATCACAAAACACACAAAGAAAAGGCTTCGAGAGTTAATTAGGGTCAACGGTGGGTCAAACTTGTCTAGATTTATTTGATTGGAGACAGGCTAACGGGCCCAGTGAGCTGCGGCCTTCATACTTGCGTTTGCAATCAATTTCAAGATTAAACAACCGTGCCGTGCGAACACAATCAAATCACAGGTCTCATTTTTTTTCACACGCGTGTCCACGCAAACGCCTTCGGTGACAGTGAGAGTTTACTTAATGTCTGCGGTTGGGCGTTTGGACATGGCGCCATTTAGAGGTGTACGTACCAAGAAGGGTGTCGCGAGGTGGCCATCGGTACCAGACACATGCAACCACGATATTTTTAGAGAAGGGTTTCAATTGTTTTAGACACAAGGCATTGCATGCCAATTTAGGGCGTACAAAAGAGGCTGCGTTACTCCCCTACAGGTGCACAAAGATTATTTGAGGATATCAAGGCGGAGTTTTTTGCAGTTACGAGTTAAATAGTGTGTTAGTTTACAGACCATGCAATTGAGCAGATGTGAGTAAAGTTCCTACCGTGGCTGCCGTCTGTCTTGAACAGTGAAGGTGAACTGTGAACCGGGCTGCACACGCGATTTATCGTCTTCCTCTGAGCACAACTCATTCGCTGGGCAGGGTACTTGACGAAGAAAGTCCATCTTCGCTTTGGGTTGGCATTTTCTGTGCCAGGCGAGTGAGTTGATTCGTGAGAACATGGTGCGACAACGCATCGTCTCTGCCAGCCAGAGGCTTCGATGCGATTGGTCCGAGACGTTCCCGAAGAACTGAACTGGGCGACTGGCGTTTCCGTAAAGGTCTGTCACATATTCGCCGTCTACGATGACTAATGTGGCCGGAAGGGATTCAGCCGAAGTATCTGAACGAAAAAAACATGTGCTCGTACCAGTGGAAAATGGTTTTGATATTGTTTACGAAATCAGAAGCATATGATGAAGACATCAGCAAAGCCGTTTCGCTTAAAACATTTATACGATCCCATTTAATGGATGTGATCAAAATAACAGCAGCATGGAATAACGGACAAGTTATTTATATGATGAGCGATTAAGGCAATCAACCAACCAGAAGAATTAGGTGTTTTTCAAGGAAATTAAGGATTTATTCTTCGAACAAGATTAAAGTGAATACTAGCATCCAAAAGATTGGTCAAATTTTAAGTTCCGTCTCTAAACCTCAAACCAAAAATTCTACTTGGGGTTTGCGACTAATGCAGTGGGTCAGTTTTTGATCAGAATACTGGGTTTTATCAGTCCAATTGAAGCAAGAAAGCGGAGTCTGGATTTCATACCACCTGCCTTCGGTCATACGATTTACTAACTGGCAGATCGGGGTGTCACAAAAGCACCCGAGATAAGAGCTTTATGACGAATTATTTTTGAGTAAAAATGTGAAGATGTGGGCACACCAAAATAACTTTAAGGAACCAAAAAAAGGTTTTTGGTTTGGTTGAGAAGTTAAATTTAAAACGGATGCATCACACCCAGCAGCGAAAGACAACTCTGGGCGCGTACATTAACGCATATGTCAGATATACTGGAAAACGCGATAGCTACAGAACAATGAGCTATATATGTCTGTGGATAAAATTTAACGAGATCAGATGGTGGTGTAAAAAGGAAATTAATAATGGAGACTTACTAAAGGTGGGAATGAAACTGCTAACATTGCCGAAAATGTAGCCCCGAGTACCTTCGATCTCGTCCACGGAAGTTTTTTGAAAGGCGAATTTGGCCAGAAATGTGTAAACCTTGTCTGTGCTCCACTCACCGGTAACATGGAGTGCGAACACCTGTGGGGCTGCGGCGAGGGTCCAAAAGATCAGAATACCCAACTTAAGAAACAAAGGCCGAGTTTTGAAAGAAAGATCAGTTTGTAGTAGACAATTTCGAATTTAATGATAGTAAAGAAACATAGGATTTATCTACTAGTCTAAGATGCACTAGCATTCCAAAAAGAAACAAAGGGAAATCGGTGGTGCAGACCCTGTATTTTTTTAGCAACGTAAGAAGACTAAAAGGTTTTATAAATGTATTACTAGAAACTGTAAGGATGTGCAAAATCTTACCAACTATTCGATTAACTAAAAATAAAGCCGACAGATGAAGCAAACATGAAAAACATCTTAAGAGAAAATGGATACACCCAAAATTACCATCTAAGAAAAGAATCAATTTGCAATGATAAAAAGGTTCTCCAGTAAATTAGGCTTAATGCCTGAGAAGAAATTCACCCAAACTTCAAACGCAAACAAAAATGAATTCGTGTCAATTATAATTCAAGTCTAAAAAACACATTTTAAATAAAAACAGGAACTCCTCTGAGTCTCCAAAAAAGACGTAACGCCTGATCACACAACCCAAGCATAAAAAAATAGTTTTATTTTTTATTACCGGAAAAAAAGCAAAAATGGAGAAACGATAAAAAAACGGTCAATAAACCGCATAAATACAATTTGTCGTATTATTCTGGTTCTTACAACAAATAAAATTGGAAAAGTACAAAAAAGAAAAAATTTGAAATAACACGAAAATAAAGGTAAAGAAATAACGTATAACAAATCAAAAACACCTTGGAACTGACACAAAAAAATTTACAAACATTAAAAAATTTATTACCAAAAAAAACACAACTTTAGAAGGAGAGGAAAAGGCATAAATTAAAATAACCAATTCCCACAGGAGAAATTCAAAAAAACAACCCAAAGGACAACCTTCAAAAAAAAAACATTAACTATTAAAACAAAAAACAATTAAAAAAACCGGGCACAAAAACATGAAAAATTAAAAAAAAAAAAAAATCCACGCCCAACAAAGAAACCAAAAAATACCATGGAGGTCGTGGCAAGTGAGACCGTGGGGACGTGTAGTGAGCGAAAGTGGCAGAGAGAGTGGCAGAAGCAGAGTGCGCGCTAGTGTGATTGGTGAAGAGAAGAAGGCGCGGATGTGAATGCGCGCGGAAGCCTGGGC